AATTATTTAAAAAAAATTTTGATTTAATTTGTTTATTAGAAATTCATCATTATTTTCAATAAGTTTTTTAATTAAATTTCTTAAAAGAATTTAATTATTTTCAAAAATTTCAATGGAATTCTTTGTAAGAATTCAAGTATTTAAAAATTTTTTGATATAGTTCTTTATATAAGAATTTAATTATTCTATTAAAATATATACTTTTGCCATTAAATAACTGAAATTGCGTAGAATTTTCTGAGAAGAATTGATGTAAAATTGAATTTCAGTTAAAGCTTTAAATAATAATTTTACACCAAAGTCAATTATTTAAAAAGATGTTTATAAAATTGTTTGCAAGAATTTAATTATTTTAAAAAAATGTAATAAAGTTCTGCGCAAAAATTTAATTATTTTCACAATTATTAAGATTGTTCTCAGGAATTAAATTTTTTCATAACGTAATAAAACTCATTGCAGTATTTCAATTATTTTTAATACAATTATTTTAAAAATCAATTTATGGAAAAATGCAACAATTCTTTAAAACTTTATTAAAATTCTTCGTAAGAATTCAATTATTTAAAAAAAAATTTTTGATTTAATTTGTTTATTAGAAATTAATCATTATTTTCAATACATTTTTTAATTAAATTTCTTGAAAAAATTTAATTATTTTCAAAAATTTTAATGAAATTATTCGTAAGAATTCAATTATTTAAAAAAATTTAAAAATCTTACTTTTCAGTCAAAAAATATTTACCTTCATTCAAAAAATTCTCACTTTGATCTAAAAAATTTTCATTTTAATTACGCAAAAAACATTTTCACATACTTCATCCGAAAAATTTTTACATACTTTTAAATTCATCTAAAATTTTTTTGCTCTTAGTTTCATAAAAAAAATATTATTTTCTATTTCACAAAAAAAAAAATTTCACTTTAAATTATACTTATTATTATTATTATTATTTAATATTTATTATTATTTTATTATAATATTATTTTCACTTTCAAACAAAAGATTTTCACTTTCACCAAAAAATCTTCACGTCCACTCAAAAAATTCTCACTTTCAATCAGAAAATTTTGGGTGACATTGAAAGTGATAATTTTTTTTATGAAAGTGGAAATTTTTTGAGAGAAAGTGAAAGTTACAGAATTGAAAATAAAAAAATCATTGAACATTATTTATAGGTTTTTCATTTTTGAATATTAGATTTGTGACAAAAATAAAAATGTTATCAAAAAAAAAAAAAAAAAAAAAAAAAAATTAGGGACCATTTCAGTTGCGTCTCTATCAGTTGGATGGTGAATATAAGTTCAAAGATCAGAATTTATACGACTGGACTAGTAATTGGTTTGAGCCTTTGCTCGTATGTGGAAGCATCGAAAGTTAATATGAGACGCGTTTACGATGGCAAAAAACTATCGAATGAAATTTGAGAAGAGCTTACTAGCTTAGCTGCCTACTGACGATAGTTGATAGGGTATATTGGCGGCGGATGATCAAACGACAAAAAACCATAAGGGCTTAAAAATCGTCATTTTTTTTTTTTTTTTTTTTTTTTTTTTTTTTTTGAAGTATATTATTCAAAGGTTGCTAAGAATGAGTTTTCAGGTGTTTCATATTATAGCGCAGCTACTGGTCCATTTGACTGTTAAGAAGTCGAGCATAGGTCAGGGTAACTTGATATTTTGAAGCCGCGTTTTTTACTCTTACAAGGGCTTCTGCAATTTTTTTCGACACCCGAGAGCAAAGCTTCTTGGAAAAACAGGATTTTACATTTTTCCATTAGGAGCTGTACTTTTTTTGTTATTTTAATTATTCTGCTTATATTTTTTTCTATTTAGAAATTTTTGTATTCTTTTATTTTTATTTTCTCCATTTCTTTTTTATTTATTTTATTTATTTTTTTGTTGTATTTTAGTTATTTTATCATTTGTTTGCTTCTTTTACTTTCCTTGTGGCGTCACGATTCTTTTTTTTCCTTTTTATTTATTTATTTAGTTTTCTATTTATATTTATTTCTTTTTCATTTACTTATTTAGTTTTCTATTTCTATTTATTTCTTTTTCATTTACTTATTTCTTTATTTTTTATTTCTTTTTTAATTTACTATTTCCTTATTTTGATTTCTTTTTCTATTTACTTATTTCCTTATTTTTATTTATTTTTCTATTTACTTATTTCCTTATTTTTATTTCTTTTTCTATTTACTTATTTCCTTACTTTTATTTCTTTTCCATTTACTTATTTCCTTACTTTTATTCCCTTTTTCATTCACTTTTTTCTATTAATTTTCTTCTTACGATTTTTTCCACTTAAATTTATACTTTATTAGAAAAAAGAGTAGAACCTTTTTTATGGATTTTCGATAACATATGTTACGGACTTGTAACTAAATTTTCGATAATGAAAATTGTTGAAACATTTTAATAACTCTGGAACTCGTTATTTTGAGATTAAAATAAATTTGAAAAAACGAAATCGTAACTTAAAAAATACAAAAGATTTTTAGTTCATGCTTTACGCTTTCGATTATTATAATAACAAAAATAGCACGTGCCATATGGTATATCGACTAATTTCAGGAAAACTTGTTTTAAAATTCGATTATCATAAAGTTTAGACTTAAGAGAAAAAAAAGAAGAAGAACCGATATTTCGATAAATAGTTGTATTACAATCGAAGTTTCCAATATGCCCTTTTGTTCAATAGTGAAACGCCCTTGTGAATCGGTTTTAGTTTTCTAAAAATGTGACTTACACTTTTTCCACTTTCCAATGTCATAACTTACCACTTGGGGTGTTATAGGTAACACCAAAACCTCTCTCTTTCTCGCTCATCCTCTTCTTCCATAGGAATTACATTTCCAGCCAGGTATATGCTATATAGAAGTTTGCAGGCGGTTCGCGGTTCACCGCCTCCAAAGGAGGTCCATGATTAGATGTCACATAAAGTATAGAAACGCTTTGTTTGACCTGCGAACCAATTTTCCAACGTCGAAAATACATCGTTTATGTCACATAAACATTCCGTCTCAATAGTATTTTTTATTTATTTTTTTTTTAACAGAAAAAGAAATCACTGTGTAGATTTTTATTGAGATAAAAAATCTAAATTCTCCTTTAATTATAATGTGGTGAAAATTTATTTTAAATCGAAATTTTATGCACCAGATGGACTTTCATTTTCTTTTTCTAATTTAAATATATTTTTATACATTATCTCAATTTTTACTTAAAAAATGATTTTTTTTCTTGTTTATTAAGATGAAAAAAAACCTTTGACTTTATAACAAAAATTTTATATTTAGTAATTTATTAATTAATAATTATTTTCAATAATTATTAAAATTTATTGAAATCCTGCGATAAGGAGAAATTTAATTATAATTGAAAATAATTTGAATTCTTAAGAACAAATAAATTATTTAAAATATTTGAATCATTTCAACAACTTTTATTAAAATTTTTTTAAATAATTGAATTCCTGAGAAAAATATTATTATTTATAAAAATAATTGAATTTTTTCAAAGAATGTAATCAATTTTTTAGTGAAATTTAAAATTTTTTTTAATGAATGTGAAAATTTTTTGAGTGAAAGCAAGAATTGTTTAGAGTCAATTTTTTTTTTGGACTGAAATTGACTGGAATAAAAAATTTATTTATTTATAATTTTAATATTGTAATATACTTAATTTACTAGCAACAATTCGCAGGCTAAATCGCGCGGCTAACTTTATAGGATAAAATTAGCAATTTTAAAAATAATAGGATTTAAAAATTTGTAATTCAAATTTTTGTTGAAAACACTAAAAAAAATCCAATTTTGGAAAAAATTACAAACAAATGCAAAAATTCAATTATTTTCAAAAATAGTACTCAAACATTTAATTATTTTTATAAATAATAACATTTTTTTTAAGAAATTCAATTATTTTCATAAAAAATAATTCAAAATTGCAGAAAATAATAATTGATTTGAAATGATGAAAATAATTTTGAAAAAGTTACTGTAATAATATTTTTATAATATAAAACAATGATTTTGTCACTCGGTCATTTTTAATTATTATAAAACATGAAGAAATCGATCACTCCGAGTCTTCGACTCGGAGCAATCGCTATCTTCATGTTTTATAAAAATATTCTTATAAGTTATTGAATTTAAAAAGATTTGAATTTAAAATTTTTGAAATTCTTAATTCCTATGGAAAAATAATATTGATTAGATATTTATTTTAAAAAAGTTATTTTTATATTTTGTTTTATTTGTTTCATTTCGAAAAATAGTAAAATTCAATTACAGACAAAAAATTAATTTAATAACAGTAAAAAAATAACAAAATTCTCTCAAAAATAAAGGATTCATTTCCATTTTAGCATAAGAGATAAAACTTGAATTGAAAAAAATCTTTCTCCCTGCATTTCAGCCACCCCAATTATAAACAGTTTTAACAAACAGCATGTATATATAAATATAAATGCTGAAAAATAATTGTACATCTCTAACTTGTTGGCTGGACCAAAAAGGATTTAATATTTATCTGCGATCCTTGAGGGCGTCCTACTTTCGAAAATAAAGTGAGCCTCCTCAAAAAACTACACACTCCTAATTATTTAATTGCACCTGTATCGTGAACCAACTCCCGTTCTTAATTACTTAAATCTGATAAACCTATAATTCCAATTAGCGCCTGTATCATGGTTATTCTTCCAAATAAAGCGTCCTTGTAACCATTTGCATATTGTTCTGGGTGGTCCAGAACCAAAAGTCTCTTACTTTTCATCAGATTGCGCGAACTATAATTCTCTTTATATATACCTTTTGGAATATTTTATCGACAAGTTTAAGACAAAAAAAATAATTCCTCCTTTTTTAATTTTAACACACTCGGAAATGTGATTTAAAAAAAATTAAAGTAACTTAAGATAAAGGATAAGTGCGAGTCATCATATAAAACATTCATTTTTAATTGACATAGATAAAGATAATGTGGAAATTTAATTACAGATTGATGACACCTTTAAAAGACGAAGACAAATAACAATAAAAATCCTCAACTTCTGAAATAATGAATTGCAGTTCATTTATTGCATCCTGAAAGTAATAAGTAATAAATATAAAAAATAAATATAAAAAATAAATAAAAAAATAAATAACAAAAAAATTAGAAAAAAATACTACATGAAAAAATCTTAATTTAAATGTTCACTTCTGATAAGAGTTCTATTTATTAAACTTAATTATTTTAATATTTAAATTTTAATATCTTGAAGAAATGAATTCACAAGGTCGCAAATAATAAAGATAAAGGTCACAAATTTACAAGCAAACGATGAATGAATTTTTTTCACTGAGTTTCGCATAGCAATTACGGTTGATAATGATTAATGAAATGTTTGTTCAGTCGCAAGGTTTTACAATTTATCAAAATAACGCCAACTTTTTAAGAAACAGTAAATTTTTTTCTTCAATTAAATAACAAAAAAAATCAGAAAATAACAATCGATAGTTGAAAATTTTGCTGTATTTTTTTTTTGCAAAATTATATATTTTTTTAATCAAATAATAGTTTTGTCCCATTTACTACTGAAATAAATAAATATTATAAAACTATAAAAAAAACAAGGATAAAATAATTATTCAAACAAAAAAAAATTTATGAAAAAAACAGATATTAAATAATAGATTAAATATTGTTATATTGATTTTACATAAGAAATAAAAACATAAACTTAAAATAACATTTCAAATTTTAAGAAACAGGAAAAACGGAAATTTACAAAAACGTAATTTTATAAATAAACGTCACTATTCTTTTTAGTATATAAATCGTGAGAAAATTTTAGTACAGCATCAATTTCAGGTTTAGTTTCCAAGAAGAGAACCAAAGATAAAGAAAGGTAATTGCACATAGAAGATAATTTTTCAAAAAAATAATATTTAAAAAAAATTACAAAATTCAAAACTTAATAAAATAAAATATAAATTTTTTAAAGTAATTAATTTTAAAAAATAGAAATTTTTTTTTAAAAATAGAAAATTTCTAGTATTTAATAAAATGAAATAATTAATAATTTTTTTTAAATTAGAAAATTTCTAGTATTTAATGAAATACACTTATAAATATTTTTTTTTTAAATTAGAAAATTTCTAGTATTTAATGAAATAAAATTATAAATCATTTATTAAATATTAAAAAATTGCTATTATTTAATGAAATAAAATTATAAATTGTAACATTAAACAAAAACTTTCAATTTTAAATGCAACAAATAATATTTAAGAGAAAAATGAGAAAATTTCGAATTTTTAATTAAATTTTATTTATTTAGATGAAATCTTACACACTTTTAATATTGTGCGTTGGAGTTTTATTGGTCATAGGGGTCAATAGCCAGCAATGTAGAAACCAAGGAGGACGGGTAATTTTTAAATTTCATCTACTTTCGGAATATTCTAAAAATTTATATTATTTGAATTTAGTTTATTATTTAATATTTTTTGTTCTTAAATTAAACATTAAAAAGAAACTATGTATTTTAATATTTTTTTTTATCTAAAATATAATTATGTTCTAAAATATAAAATTTAAAACAAAAATAAAAAGTAAATTATAATTTTTTAGTGTCGCAGTGACCAAGAATGCTGTCGGGGACTTCGATGCAATAATAGAAGTTGCGAGAGACGAAACGGAGGTGGAGGTGGTAACAATGGTGGTAACAATGGGGGTAATAATGGTGGTAACAATGGCGGTAACAATGGCGGTAACAATGGTGGTAATAATGGTGGTGATCGCGATTGCAGAAGAGAAGGCCAACGAGTAATAACAATTTTTTAATATAAATATATAATTAAAATTTCGGAATATTTAACACGAATAAATTAATATTTATTTTTTTTATTCGAAATATTAAAATTTTATATTAATTTTATTAAAAATTAATTAGCATTATGATTATTAGAAAATCATATTAGAAAATCAATTAATTAAGAAAAAAAAATTAGTTACCATTATAATTAATATTATAAAAAATTAGTTAACATTATAATTAATATTATAAAAAATCAATTAATATTATTAATAATATTTTAAAAAATTAATTTGTTTAATAATTAAATATAATTTTTCGATTAAAATTTGATTTTGAAAATTCTAGTGCCGGGAAGATCGGGAATGCTGCAGAAATTTGAGATGCAATCAAAGGAATAGAAATTGTGAGCGACGAAGGAACAATTAAAAATTCTTCCTTGTACACTAAAAACAGAGTGAATTCAAAGATCTCGAGTGGCCTGATAAATGATTAACAATATTCACTTATTTAATTTTTCCAAAACTCTATAAAAAGTATAAATGTATAACTGTTTAAATCTTCAATATTGTGGTATAAATAAAAAAAATATCTATTCAAGACAAAGTGTTTTCTTCAATTTAATTAGTTTTTAAATATAAAATAATCAAACATACATGGATTGTGACAACAATTTTTCCTCTAAAATTAATTTCAATTTTCTTTTATTTTTACACGAACGGCATAAGCCATTATGTATAAGCAAATAGTAAAACAATAAATTTCTCCAAAATTAATTTCAAATTTTTTTTACTTTTTCACAAGCGACCTAAATAAAAATATAAAAGCAAATAATAAAATAAAATTCATGATTAAATTAAAAAAAAAATTTTAAATAAAAAACTTTTTATCAAAATTAATTGTAATTTTCTTTTACTCTTTCATCACAAGCGACCTATGCAAAAATATAAAAGCAAATAATAAAACAATGTAAAATTAATGTTTAGTTTGAATAAACAATTTTTTAGAATGAAAATAAAAACTTTTCTCCAAAATTAATTTTAATTTTTCTTTTCATTTACACAAGTGACATAAATAAAAAAATATAAAAGCAAATAATAAAATAAGGTAAAATTCATTTTTAGATCGAATAACAAATTTTTTAGAATAGAAATGAAAATAAAAAAGCTTTTCACCAAAATTAATTTCAAATTTTTTTTTTACTTTTTCGTCACAAGCGTTATAAGCAAAAATATAAAACCAAATAATACAACATAGTAAAATGAATGCTTAATTTGAATAAAAAATTTTTTAGAATAAAAATAACAAACTTTTCTCCAAAATTAATTTTAATTTTCTTTTACTTTCACATGAGCTGCCTAAACAAAAATATAAAAATGAATAATAAAACAAGGTAAAATTAATGTTTAGTTTGAATAAGCAATTTTTTAGAATAAAAAAATCGTCTCCAAAATTAATTTTAATTTTAATTTTCTTTTACTTTTACACAAGCGACCTAAGCAAAAATATAAAAACATGCTTTTATTGTTTTTATTAATTTTTAGTGTGAATAAATATTTTCTAGAACAAAAATTAAAAATAATAATTACTAATTTCATACATAACTTTTAAAAAGGAATTTTAACTCATTAATTAATTAATTTTACGTTATTTATTTATTCTGAATTTTATGAAAACTAATTAATTAAATCGATAGATGGTCAAAATAGTTATGATTAATTTATAATCAATATTAAAGTAGCTTAATAATAAATTAACGGCCTAAAGTAATAATTGTTAATAGCGAAGTATCATAATTTTTAAATTGCAAAATAATAATTTTTAATAACAGACTAATATGAATTAGTAACAAATTTTTAATATTTCGTGCACTTTCCTTTACTATAATATTTCAATTAATTAATAATTACTTGAATAGAAAACAATTTTTAATCCAAATTAATTTAAAAAAAAAATTATGCCTCTATTGATTGTTTTAAAAAATGTTGCAATGTAGAAAAAAATTTAACACAGATGCAAAACAAGGAACGAGGAATTAAAATTTAATTATATTTTTTTTATATTCGTAATGATAAATTATTAAATAATCCATAATTAAATTTAAAAAATTTGAATTTATATTAATTTTATGAATTTTAATTTGTTTAAAAATAAATTTATTTAACATTTACAAATTTAAATTTATTTAAAAATGAATTTATTTAAAAATATATTTATTTGAAATCTACGAAAATAAATTTATTCGAAATTCACAAATTTTAATTTATTTAAAAATAAATTTATTCAAAGTTGATCTTCATAGTGTTTTTTAGCCTAAAGCTAGAAATTTTTGACAATTTCCTCAAGAAAATGTGTACTTTTTCTGTCGACTACAATTTTCTTGTTAAAAAAAAAAAAATTTAATTATTTACCTTCAATAATTTGTAACTAAAATAAATATCCACGACAATAAGTAAATAAAGATAACAAAAAAATATCAAGAAAAAAAATATAATATTCACATAAATTGAACTGAAAATTCGATAATAATCAATAAGATAATACAATAAAGATAAAAAGAAAGGTGCGAAAATATTCCACTTTTAAAAAGAGAGAAAATATTAGAAAAAGAGAGAGAGAAAAAATATTTCCTTTAAATAAACGTAAAGAAAACAGTAATATAAATAAATAAATAAAAGACACATTTTTTGTCAGTATATAAAAGGTGAGACATTTTTTAAAAAATTAAGTTACAAGTTCAACTCTTAACAGGACAACGGATCTGAACAATTAAAAGTAAGGTAATATTATTCAATAATGATTATTTAAAGATAATTTAAAGAAAAATTCTAAATAGTAAATTTCGAATTAAATACTCAATTTTTTATTTAGATGAAAACTTTCACCCTTGTGTTTTTGTGCATTGGGGTTTTTGTCTTAGCCGTCAATAGCCAAGAATGTGAGAATGAAGGAAGACGGGTAAGTTATTAATTACTTGAAACAAGAAGTATGTTTCTATTCTTTAGAAGAAATTAAAATTATGCAAAAAATCTAATTAATAAATTAATCATATTAATTTTTAGTGTGATCGGAATCGTCGATGCTGCGAAGGATTACGATGTAATAGAGACAGATGTGAAAGACGAGGTGGTGGCGGTGGGGATGATTGTAGACGAGACGGACAACGGGTAATACATTTTTTTATTATTTTAAAAAAAAGTTTTAAATAATTTGAGAGATAAAATTCGACCCCTTTTTTATTTACTTTATTTCATTTAATTTTTCTATTGTTATTAAATTATAATGAAAATTTGTTAAATTTTATTTAAAATTTAAATTTCTCTTAATTTAAAAAATTTTAATTAAATTAATTTTAAAAAATTATAAATTAAAAAATTCAATTAAAATTTTTTTAATTTTAATTAAAAATTATTTTTTTTTTAAATTTAGTGCCGTGACAATCGAGAATGCTGCGAAGGACTTCGATGTAATAGAGAAAGATGTGAAAGACGAGGTGGTGGTGGTGGGGATGATTGTAGACGAGATGGACAACGAGTAATACATTTTTTTATTATTTTAAAAAAAAGTTTTAAATAATTTAAGAGATAAAATTCGACCCCTTTTTTATTTACTTTATTTCAGTTAATTTTTCTATCGTAATTAAATTATAATGAAAATTTGTTAAATTTTATTTAAAATTTAAATATTTCTTAATTTTAAAAATTTTAATTAAATTGAATTAAAAAAAATTATAAATTCAAAAAATCAATTAAAAATTCTTCAATTTAAATTAAAAATCCATTTTTTTTAAAATTTAGTGCCGTGACAATCGCGAATGCTGCGAAGGACTTCGATGTAATAGAGACAGATGTGAAAGACGAGGTGGTGGCGGTGGGGATGATTGTAGACGAGACGGACAACGAGTAATAATTTTTTTTATTATTTTTAAAAAAAATTTTTCAATAATTTGAGAAATAAAATTCGACCCCATTTTTTATTTTCTTTATTTCATTTAATTTTTGCATTTTAATTCAATTATGATTGAAATTTGTTGAATTTTAATTAAAATTAAAAATTTTCTGAATTTAAACAATTTTGATTAAATTAAATTAAAGAAAATTAATTATTTTTTCAAATTTAGTGCCGTGAAAATCGTGAATGCTGCGAGGGACTACGATGCAATAGAGAAAGATGTGAAAGACGAGGTGGTGGCGGCGGTGACGATTGCCAACGAGAAGGACAACGAGTAATAAAAAATTTATTATTTAAAATATTTTATTAAAAATTAAATTTTTAAATTTTCTTTATTAAATTTTAGTGTCGCGATAATCGTGAATGCTGTGACAGACTTCGTTGCAACAGAGATAGATGTGAAAGACGAAGAGATTAACAAAATTTATTCCAATTCTACTTCATCTGTAATTGAACAGAAAATTATTAAGGACGAGAATGGACCAGAAAAATTAACATTTAATTTCCAAATTTTAAGTTTTCAAAAATATATCTAAAAATATATCTAATAAAATAAAAATGTGCAATAAATTTCATTCTTATTGAAATTTAAATATATGTAAACTGAATATTATAAACAATAAAGAGAGCAAAATAAAAAAAAATTTCTGATTGTAAATTTATTTTACCTTTAATACCTTTAATGAAAAGAATTTCCTACTTTCATAATATCAAAATAATATATTTATTGTTTAAATGCAATTAGCAATAAACAAAATTAAAAATTTTTTTTGGGTAAATTTTAAACAAATGTAGTTTTTTTAACAAATAATCACACAAAAATTTTATTCACTGCAATTGAAAACTTATTTTGTCACCTTTGAAACGCTTTTTTTAAAAAATTATTGTACGATAATTTTTAAGAAAGTTTTGTAATTAAAAACAATCAAAAAATAGACTGTTTTTTAAACAAAAAACGTGACTTTCTTAAAAATTATCGTACAATAATTTTTAAAAAAGTATTTGAAAAGTGACAAAATAAGCTTTCAATTGCAATAAATGAAATTTATGTGTGACCCAAAAAAATTTTAAAAATGTTTAAAAAAAACAACAAAAAAATCTCCTTTCAAGTATAAATTTGTTTTAATTTGAAAGATTAATTTAAATCAAAGAAGAAAGATTAAAATTCATCTCTTAGTTAAAAAAACTTTCAAATATAAACAAAAATTTCGCTTTTTTGTAGATGAATATTTAAATATTGAAAATAAAATGTAAAAATAATTAAATAGTTGTAGAATAAAAGAATAAAAAAAATAAAAGTAAAAGATAATATAAAATGTCAAAAAAATTATCAATCGAAACGTTAATTTTGCTTTTTATTATTTTAATATTTGACTTGGAGGATTGATAATTTTCTTGACATTTTATGTAAAAATAATTGTTAAGCGGAATTTTCTTCTCACTTTGAGATTTTATTTTTTTCGGTGTATTTATTGCTAATTGCATTTAAACAATAAAGAACATGTTTTTTTATATTTATTATTTTAAATTAGGAAATTAGGAAATAATAATAAATACTATTAATATTATTACTTTGTTTCTTTTATTACAATTATAATTAAATTAAAAATTAATTAATTAATTAATTAATTAATTAATTAATTAATTATAATTAAATTTTTTTTTTATTTATTAAGAATAATAATTATTATTCTTAATTCAATTAATAAATGTATAACTTATTAATTAAAATAATGGCAACAATTCACAAATACAAATCGAAAGAAACAAAAAATTAAATTAATAAATTAATGGTCTACAGTGAAATAATTTTTAATTACAAAATAATAATTTTTAATAACAAAGTAATATCAAATAATAACAAATTTTTAATATTTGGTGCAATTTTCTTAACTATAATATTTAATTTAATTGATAATTACTAGAGAAGAACACAATTTTTAGTTGAAATAATTTTAAAAAATAAATTTTGCCTCTACAATTAATATTTTAAAAAATATTGCAATGTAGAGAAAAATTTAACAAAGATGTGAAACTATAAACGACTAATTAAAATTAATTCAATAATTTATATATTCGTAATGACAAAGTATTAAATTATCCAAAATTATTAAATTTTATTTTTATTTATTTATTTTATTTATTTATAAATTTTAGTTTATTGAAAAATAAATTTGTTTAAAATTTACAAATTTTAATTTAATTAAAGTATTCACATAAAATTAACTACAAAATCATAAAATCAATAAAAAAAATAATACAATAAAGATAAAAAGAAAGATGCTAAAATTTATTTTTTAAAATTTTTTTAAATAAAAATTGTGTTCTTTTCTAGTGATTTTTAATTAAATTAAATATTATAGTAAAGAAAATTGCACCAAATAGTAAAAATTTGTTATAATTTGATATTACATTGTTATTAAACATTATTATTTTCAAATTATTATTTTCAAATTTTTTTTAAAAAGTAATAAAAAAGGTTACTGCTTCATTCTCTCTCTCTCTCTCTCCCTCATATTTTCTCTCCTTTTAAAAGTGGAATATTTTCGCACCTTTCTTCTTAGTTCTTATCTTCATTGTATTATCTTTTTGATAAAAAATTTGTAAATTTTAAACAAATTTATTTTTCTATAAACTAAAATTTATAAATTTCAAATGAATTCAAATTTATAAAATTTAATTGTGCGTAATTTAATAATTTGTCATTACAAATATATAAATTATTTAATTAATTTTAATTAATCGTTCATAGTTTCAAATCTTCGTTAAATGTTTCTCGGCATTGCAATATTTTTAAAAATATAATATAGGCAAAATTTATTTTTTTTATATTATTTTAACTCAAAATTGTGTTCTACTCTAGTAATTATTAATTAAATTAAATATTATATTAAAGAAAATTGCACCAAATATTAAAAATTTGTTATTATTTGATATTTCTCTGTTATTAAAAACTATTACTTTGTAATGAATTGTAATTTTTGTTGTGAAGAATATTGTTACTCTTGAAAATAATTGAATTTTTGAAATAATTTTTAACTTTTACAAAATTGAATTTTTTTTCGTGTTTTTAAATAAACATCTTCTATAAATCCACTATTTTTAATAATTTTTGAAAAAGTTCTTTGAGAATTTTCAAATTCATTTGTTTACAATTCAATTTTACAAAATTTCAATTATTCGTAAATTCCTCACAATTAAATAGGTATATATTAGAAAATAAAAACTTTAAATAATTTCAAAAAAAAATCCACAATTAAAGTTTCTCAAAAAAAATTAATTCCACATAATTGTTAGTTAAAAATATGAAAAATTCAAATTTACAAAGATTTTAATCTTAAATCTTTTCAAAATTCAATTATTTCTAAAATTTAATTTTTTTGGAGGAATTCGATTAAAATTCGAGGAATTCCTAAAAAGAATTTTATTATTTACGAAAATAATTGAATTCCCTTAAAAATTTTATTATTTATGAAAATAATTGAATGATTGCGAAAAAATAAAAAAAATTTGTAAATAATGAAATTCTTGTAAAATTTTTATTATCTTCTGAAAATAATGAAAAGTTTGTGTAGAATTTTATTAAATTTTGTTTTAAATAATTGAATGCTTTTGGAAAATTTTATGAAAATAGTAGATATTGAAAATCATTGAATTGAGGAAAATTTTTGAAAATAATTTAATTTCGGAGAAGAATTTAATTATTTCTACTAAAGATAATTGAAATTTTAATGAGACATTTGAAAAATTTTTGAACATAATTGAATTTGTGCGAAGAATATTATGATTTTTAAAAATAATTGAATTTCTGCAATCATTTGTAATTTCTCTAAAATTCTGCAAATTATATCGCACAATTTACGAACTTTTCATCTTTTTTTAATCAAATTACGGATTTATTTATTTATTAACGAACTTTTACGAAAACGAAAACGAACTTTTACGGACTTAAATGAATAATTACTAAAACTAAATTAAATTAAATTTAATTACAACTAAATTTGTAGAAATTGCTACAAAGAATTAGTTTCACTTGTAAAAAATTCTATGAAATTAAATCTCTGGACTTTTCACCAATGAAAATCCATTTCTTTAAAATAAATTCAATTGTATATTTAAGACAAAATATAAATTCAACATAAAAACGAGGATAAAATAAATTTTCAAAAAATAAAGGAAAAGAAAACGATATTTCTTTAAAAAATAACAAATTGACGTTAATTTTGCAACTGAAAATAATATAAATAAAAAAATACAATATTATTGTGAGTATATAAACGGTGAGAAATTTTCCTTAAATTAAGTTACAAGTTCAACTTTAAACAGAACAACCGATCTGAGCAACAAAAAGAAAGGTAATTTTACTTAATAAATTTTTTCTAAATAAGAAACAATTCTAAATTTAATAGTGAATTTCGAATTAAATGCGGAATTTTATATTTAGATGAAAACTTTCACTGTATTTTTGTGCATTGGAGCTTTTGTCGTAGCCGTCAACGGCCAAGAATGTGCGAACGAAAATGGACGGGTAAGTTATTAATTAATTTAAACAAGAAGTACCTACGTTTCTATTTTTAAGAAGAATTTAAAATTTAATAAAAAATCTAAATAATAAATAATTTTTAGTGCGATCGGAATCGAAGATGCTGTGACGGACTTAGATGTAACAGAAATAGGTGTGAAAGAGAATGTACTTTAGAGGGAGAACAGGTAATAAAAATTTCTATTATATTAAAAAAAAATTGTAAACAATTTTTTTAAATAAAATTAAACACTTATATTAACTTGTTTAAATGAATAATTAAATTTTTAGTGCGATGCCAATCGCTCATGCTGCGACGATCTTCGTTGCAATGGAGGAAGATGTCAAAGGGAATGTAGACGTGAGAACCAACAGGTATTCAAAATATCTATTCTTCTTGAAAAAGTTTTAAAACAATTATTTTAACATTTTTATTTATTTTTTAAATTAAATATTAAATATTAAATTTTAAAAAATTTTAGTGCGGTCGAAACATTCGATGCTGCGATGGATTAAGATGTGATAGTGCAAGATGTCAAAGGGACTGTAGTCTACTAAACCAACAGGTAATAAAAATTTCTATTCTATTTGAAAAATTTTCAACAATTTGTTAAATAAAATCCAAATTACAATTTGTAATTTTCAATTTAAAAATTGAAAATTACCACAAAATTTTTAGTGCAGTGCAGATCGTCCATGTTGTGAAGATTTTCAATGTAACAATGGAAGATGTCAAAGGAATTGCAGAAACGATGGACAACAGGTAATAAAAAATTTATATTCTATTTGAAAAAGATTTTAATTAATTTGAAAAATACAATTTAACTTTTAATTATCATTTTTTTTAATTAAAAATTTTCAAAATTTTAGTGTAATCGAAATAATCGATGCTGTGTTGGACTTCGATGTAATAGAGAAAGATGTGAACGTGACTGCCACCTAGAGGGAGATCAGGTAATAAAAATTTCTATTCTATTTAAAATTTTTTTTTAAACAATTCGTTAAATAAAACAAAATTTATTTATTAACTTGTTTAAATTAAAAATTATTTGAATTTTCCCAAAATTTTTCACGAATCAATGGTCAATCATCAGCAATTTATTGTCCCCTACTATTATTTAATGGTTTTAATTTATTTTCAATTAAGAATTATTGAATTTTAAAAAAAATTTTAGTGCAACGCGAACCGTCCATGTTGTGATGATCTTCGATGTACAGGAGGAAGATGTGAAAGAGAATGCAGACGTGATAGGCAATCGGTAATACAAATTTCTATTCCTTTTGAAAAAAGTTCATAAAGATTATTTAAATTAAATTCAACTTTTTTATTATTTTTCTTAAATTAAAATTAGTGCGATCGGAATCGTCGATGTTGTGATGGTCTGAGATGTAATAGGCAAATATGTGAAGCCAACTGTAGCCTAGAAAATGAACAGGTAATAAAAATTGCTATTCTATATTTAAAATCGTTTTTAAACAATTTGTTAAATATAATTCCATTTTCTTAAATTGAATTTAAAAAAAATTGAATAAAAAAAAATTACTAAATTTTAACAAAAATTTTAGTGCAGTGCAGATCGTCCTTGCTGCGAAGATCTTAGATGTAACGGAGGAAGATGCCAAAGACAAAACTAAGATTAAAATTAATTACAATTTCAAATCCCCTAAAATAATTGTCTAGAAAACTTGGACTTCAATGAACCAAAACAATTAAGAATGTGCAATTTCACTTTTTCGTGACTATTCCATTTAATAAAAAAAAATATACAACTTTTATTCTGATCGAAATTTTCGATTATTGTAAACTAATTATTATAATTGATAATTAATAAAGACTGCAAGAGAATACAATTTTTCTATTGTAAATTTAATTTATCTTTAAGAGAAAAGAATTGTATCAGTCGATATTTATTTAAAACTTTTTGAAGAAAAGAGTACTACTTGATAATTAGAATAATTTCTAAAACAAAATTAAATGCAAAATTAAATTACAACTAAATTAGAAGAAATTGATATAAATTTAAATACTAGTTGACATTCGCTAATTCAGATTTACACACTGAAAAAAAATTTATTTCATTCAAATAACCAATTGCTTGACTATTATCAATTAAATATTTAATTGAATCAAATTATATTTATTAAAGTCAATAATTAAATATAATTATTTATGAAAATAATTAATTTCTTATAAAGAATTTCATTCAAATTTTTTAAAATAATAATTCAATTTCTCAGAATTTTTTAAAACTTTTCAAAAAAAAAAAATGTAATCCCATCAAGAAATTTCATTAAAAAATTGAAAATAATTAAAATCTGACGAAGAATTTTATTAAATTTTTTTTAAATTATTGAATTCCTGTGAAAATGTTTATTCTTGAAAAGAATTGAATTCTTGTGAAGTATTTTATTAAAATTTCTTAAATAATTGAATTGCTTCGAAGAATTTTATTTTTTCCGAAAATTATTGAATTGTTTCGAAGATTTTTACAAACAATTTTGACAATAATTGTATTTCAAGTTTATATTTTACGAAAATAATTGTATTCTATGGTCAATAATTTTATTACAATTTTTGAAATTTATAAAGCATTTTATCAAAATTTTTTTAAATAATTGAATTCTCGAGAAAAATTTTATTATTTATGGAAATAAAATTGATTTCTTGCGAAGAATTTTATTTAAATTCTTTTTAAATAATTTAATTTTTAAGAAGAATTGTACCTATTGAAAATTCTATTAACTAAATCTTGTAAAGAATTTTGTCGACATTTTTTTAAATATTAAAATTTTTAAAAGAATTTTATTTAAATTTTTCGAAAAATTAAATTTCTCAGAACTTTTTTTTTCAATTCTATGAACTGTAAAACACTTGAACATTTACTTGTGAATTTTGGTTATTTTTCTTTAATTATAGAGTGCGTTTCTAAATTCCTCCTTGCGCATCCCTTGATACTTTTAGTTGTTTTAGTTGTTTATGTCGAACATTTGAAGATTTGCTAGTACCTGAGTCACAAAACCTTGTATGTAAATTAATTTGCGACAGTATTTACTTATTTTTCATAAACGTTTTTTTTTTGTATTAAGGGCTCTGCACGTATAAGAATCTTAAATAAAATAAAATTCTTTATTAAAGTTTTTGAATAATTAAGTTATTTAAAAAGAAATTATTGTCTTTTCCCTGATTTCCCTGACCAATTTTAATTTTCCTGACTTTTCCCTAAATTCCCTGACCTGTGGCAATCCTAAATTATTATTTGTAAATTAATTACTGCAGAAATAGTTAAATTTTACTATAAATAAATTACTTACAAATAAAAAGAATTTTAAATAACCTACAAGTGAATTTAAATTATATAATTAGTTTTTATGAACTGTTTGATTAGTTAAGTATTATTATTTAATCAGCGACTGACTTGTCACTAACAAATTACGATTATTTTTAAATAATTCAGATTTATAGAGTACTAAACGACGTCAAAAACTCCTAAATAACATTTTTCAGTAGAATGAAAATTTATAGTTGATTGAAAATATTTATAGAATGCAAATATTTTTTTATATGGCATTATATTTACCATTCAAATTTTTTAAAATCTATTATAATCGTTTTCAATGATCTCGAAAACCCCAGAGTAATAAGTTTCAGTCGAATTAGTCCGACATTTTGTTTTTTTAATTTTTAGCACAGGGCATTCGAAAGGTCTTTTTCAACTTGAATTTTGTACATATTGAAAAATTTGTTGATCAAAACTTATTTTGGGCAGATGGGTGACTCACTTGATTTGAAATGACCAATATACGAAAAAATTTGTTTTCAACGATTTGACAAAAATAAGGATAAAATTAATTTTCATAAAATAAAGTAAACATGATATCTTAAAAAAATTCAAAATATTGACATTAATTTTGAAACTGTGAATAATATAAATAAACAAGTGCCATTTTTTTGTGTATATAAATGGTGAGAAATTTTCTTAGAATTAAGTTTCAAGTTCAACTTTAAATAGAAGAACCAATCTAAGCAAGAAAGGTAATACTACTTAACTTTTATTACTTCATTATTACTTATTATTTATGGAATAATTCTGAATTTAATTTAATTGTGAATTTTGAATTAAATACTAAATTTCTTATTTATAGATGAAAACTTTTACCCTTGTATTTTTGTGCATTGCGGCTTTTGTCGTAGCCGTCAATGGTCTTGGATGTGTGAACGAAAATGGACGGGTAAGTTATAATTATGTTTGAAACAGAAAGTATGTTTATATTTTTCAGAGGAAATTAAAGTTCTATGAAATATCTGATTAATAAATTAATCTTACTTTTTAGTGCGGTCGCCATAATCGATGCTGTGTTGGATTAAAATGTAACAAAGAAAGATGTGAGAGAGAATGCAGCCTAGAGGGAAACCAGGTAATAAAAATTCCCATTTTAGTTGAAAAAATTTTTAATACAATTTATTAAATATTTTTTAACTTTTTTTTATTAATTTGTTTAAATAAATTTTTTTTCAAATTTTCCCGGAATTTTTCACGAAACAATTGTCAATTATCAGCAATTTATTGTCCCCCATTTTCTCATGATTTTAATTAATTTTCAATTACAAATTTTTAAATTTTAACAAACATTTTAGTGTGATTGGAACCGTCCGTGTTGCGACGATCTTCGATGCACAAAAGGCAAATGTCAAAGGGAATGTAGACGCGAGAACCAACAGGTATTAAAAATATCTATTCTTCTTAAAAAAAAAGCTTTAAAACAATTATGTAAATAAAATTTAACATTTTTATTTATTTTTTTATATTCTAGTGCGGTCGAAATATTCGTTGCTGTAATGGCCTTCGCTGCAATAAAGATAAATGTGAAAGGGACTGCACCCTTCTAAACCAAAAGGTAATAAAAATTTTCATTCAACTTGAAAAACTTTTAAAAACTTGTTAAATATGTTTTAACTTTTTTATTAATTTGTTTAAATTAAATATTATTAAATTTTAACAAAATTTTTAGTGTAGTGGGGATCGTTCATGCTGTGATGATCTTCAATGTAAAGGAGGAAGATGTCAAAGGCAGTGCAGAAATTCTGGACAAAAGGTATAATTTCTATTCTACTTGCAAAATATTTTGTGCAATTTCTTTAATCGAATTCAACTATTTATTTTTATTTTCCAATTAAAATTTTTTTAATTTTAACCAAATTTTAGTGTGATTGGAATAATCGATGCTGTACTGGACTGAGATGTAATAGACATAAGTGTGAAATTGAATGTAGAGCAAATGGAGCAGCGGTAATAAAAATTTATTATTTTTAGAAATTTTTAAACAATTTGTCAATTAAAAATTAATTTTCAAAATTTTCTGAATTAAATTGCAGTGTCGTGAGTCAAATCAATGCTGTGGTAAAAAATGCAAAAAAGGTAGATGTGTAGGAAAAAGCGAACATTAACATTAATTCCAATTTTACTACCCCTACAATATTGGCCAGAAAATTATTAAGGACTTCAATGGACTAAAACAACGAAGAATGTATAATTTCAATTTTTCAAGAATATTCTATTCAAGAAAAAAGATACAACTTTAATTCTGATCGAAATCTTCGATCAACAAATATTATATAATCAATAAAGACTGCAAATCAAAATAACTTTTTTATTCTAAATTTAATTTACCTTTAAAAAACAAAATTATATCAGTAGATATGTTTTTTAAAACTATTTGAAGCTAAAAGTGTTAAAAATTTTTTTTTATTTTTATGGTTCTAATTCGTTTTTTGAGTTTCTCTCAAAATTTTGAGCAAATTTGTCAATTCTGACTTTGAATTCAGATTCAGCGGAAAAAGTCAAAATTTTGTCTGAAAATCAGAAAAAAGTCAAGGAAAAAGAAAATTAATTTTTGTGGCAACCCTGAAGTTTAACAATTCTTTGTTTCCCAAAATACATAATTGAATTCATTAGGAAAATTTTATTACAATTATTTTTAAAAATAATTGAGTTCTTGAAAAGAATATAATGATAATTTTTTAAAAATAATTAAATTGTTTTGTAGAATTTCATTAAAGTTTTTGACAAAAAGAAAAATTCTGTCAAAGAATTTAATTAAAACTATATTGAAAATAGCTGCATTCTCAAAAATAGTTTGATAAAAATCTTTGAAAATAAGTAATAATTAAATTTTTACGAAGAATTGTATTTAATTTTTTATGAAACTAATGAAATTCCTTGAAGGAATTTCATTTAAATTGAATGGAAAATAATTAAATTTCTCCAAAGAATTTCATTATAGTTACGAAAATTTATAAAATTATTCGCAAGAATTGTAATACATTTATGAAAAGAATTTTATTATTAACCCTTTAACGACGAGATGTGCTACTTTTCAACATGAAATTCAATCTCTTACAATTAGTAGAAAAAAGCCATAAAAGTTTTTAAAAGTCCATACCCTACTATTTTTGGGGTCGCTCTTTCGAATGGTGTGGTCAAACTTTTCAAAAAATGATATTTAACCCTTCTTTTTTCAAAAATACTAAAAAAAGTCAAGTTTTCTTAATGTAATTTTTTTCAAAAGAATTTTTTCTGTGTCATAACGCTTTTCAAATAGAACAAAAAGTATCAAAAACGTGTTCCCGATAGTTGTACTTGAAAAATATTCATTTCTAAATTTTATTTTTTTCGATTTTGAATTTAAAATGGCGCTTGAAGGACAAAAAATTTTTCTTATTTTACGTAAGATGACAAACTTTTTCAAAATTGCTCAAATCTGATTGACATTTGTTACTCAGGGGTTTTCGTGGTCGCTGATTACGAATTTGAAGTCTGATTTCAAAAATTCAAAATGGCGGATCCAATATGGCGGATGACTTTTTAAAAAATTGATCGGATTCGCTTGAAACTCGTTACTCGGGGGTTTTCGGGGTCGCTGGTTACAAATCCGATGTCAGTTTTTAAAAATTCAAAATGGCGGATCTAATATGGCGGACGAAATACAAAAAGTGTTCAGATTTGCTTGAATCTTGTTACTCGGGGGTTTTTGGGGTAGCTGATTACGAATTTGATATCAGATTTTCAAAATTCAAAATGGCGGATCCAATACGACAGATGACTTTTTTAAAAATTGATTGGATTCGCTTGAAATTTGTTACTCTGCGGTTTTTGGGTTCGATAATGACGAATCTGACGTTAGATTCAACAAATTCAAAGTGGCCAAAGTATAATGAAAGACTAATTTTTTTAATTTACTCAGGTTTGCTTGAAATTTGTTAGTGTGGTATTTTTAGGGTGGCTGATTACGAATATGAAGTCACATTCCAAAAATTCAAAATGGCGGAATTACTATACTCTTTTTGCTCTGACTCTACCAGTATCAACTTATCTATATTTCACAATATGTGACAGGAAAATTTAAAAGTGATCTATGGTACGAGAAAATCGATGTTAGTTTTTCAAAATTCAAAATGGCGGAACGAATATGGCAGACGAAATTAAAAAATTAGTCGGATTCAGTTGAATTTTGTTACTCTAGGGTTTTCGGGTCCACTAATTGCGAATCCGATGTTCGTTTTTAAAAATTCAAAATGCTTGGTATAAAATAGCTATAAGAATTGGTAAGGATATTTTTTACACCTCGTCTGCCTTATCGATTCCACCATTTTGAATTTTGAAAAACTAACATCAGATTCGCAACCAGCAACTCCAAAAACCCACGAGTAACGTGTTTCAATCAGGTTTGAGATATTTTGAAAAATTCGTCCGCCATTCTGGATCCGGCATATTGAATTTTTTTAATCTAACGTCAGACTCGTCATTATCGAACCCAAAAACCGCAGAGTAACAAATTTCAAGCGAATCCGATTAATTCTTAAAAAAGTCATCTGTCATATTGGATCCGCCATTTTGAATTTTGAAAATCTGATATCAAATTCGTAATCAGCTACCCCAAAAACCCCCGAGTAACAAGATTCAAGCAAATCTGAACAATTTTTGTATTTCGTCCGCCATATTAGATCCGCCATTTTGAATTTTGAAAAACTGACATCAGATTCGTAACCAGCGACCCCGATAACCCCCGAGTAACGAGTTTCAAGCGAATTCGATCAATTTTTTAAAAAGTCATCCGCCATATTGGATCCGCCATTTTGAATTTTGGCAAATGGACATCAGATTCGTAATCAGCGACCACGAAAACCCCTGAGCAACAAATTTCAATCAGATTTGAGCAATTTTGAAAAAGTTTGTCATCTTACGTAAAATAAGAAAAATTTTTTGTCCTTCAAGCGCCATTTTAAATTCAAAATCGAAAAAAATAAAATTTAGAAATGAATATTTTTCAAGTACAACTATCGGGAACACGTTTTTGATACTTTTTGTTCTATTTGAAAAGCGTTAAGACACAGAAAAAATTCTTTTGAAAAAAATTACATTAAAAAAACTTGACTTTTTTTAGTATTTTTGAAAAAACAAGGGTTAAATATCATTTTTTGAAAATTTTGACCACACCATTCGAAAGAGCGACCCCAAAAATAGTAGGGTATGGACTTTTAAAAACTTTTATAGCTTTTTTCTACTAATTGTAAGAGATTGAATTTCATGTTGAAAAGTAGCACATCTCGTCGTTAAAGGGTTAATGAAAATAATTGAATTCGTTCCAAGAATATTATTAAAATTCTAAAAAGTAATAAATAAAAATTAATAAATTTGTAATAAGTGAATTTTTAAAGAAAATTTCAAATCTGAAATCACTCAAAAATTTGCATTGCAATTTATTTTTTTCTTCTTATTTATCAAAACAGCGAACTTTTTATACGACGTAGGGGGAGAGTTGTCAGAGTTGGTCAGTGGTTAGGGCTGAGACACCTTTCACATAACTCGCAGTGAAAAAACTTATTGTAATGTCTTTATAAGCCGTAGAGTGGGCAAATCCTTTTGAGCGGCACTGAATATTTTTCAATTTTTGGCACAAAGCATTTCGAAATGTATTTTTGCACCAACTGAAAATTTTTTTAATCAAAATCTGTTTTGGGATCACATGACGTGGAATGACACGTATATAAGAAAAATTTTGTATCAACGATTATACACAAACAATAAAAACAAGGATAAAATTAATATTATCTTAAAACGAAGTAAACAAGATATTAAAAGAAAAAATAAAATGTTGACTTTAATTTTGCGAACTAAAAATAATATAAATAAACAGAAAACTTTGTTTTTGAGTATATAAACGGTGAGAAATTTTCTTTAAATTAAGTTTCAAGTTCAAATTTAAACAGAACAACCAATCTGAGCAATTAAAAGAAAGGTAATATTACTTATTATTTAAGATACAATTTTAAATTTAGTAGTGAATTTCGAATTAAATACACAATTTTTTATTTAGATGCAAACTTTTACCCTTGTATTTTTGTCCATTGGGGTTTTTGTCTTAGCCATCAATAGCCAAGAATGTGAGAATGAAGGTAGACGGGTAAGTTATTAATTACTTGAAACAAGGTGTAAGTTTCTATTTTTCAGAAGTAATTAAAATTTAATAAAGATCTATATAATTAATAAATTATACTTTTTAGTGCAGTGCGACACGTAGATGCTGTGTTGGACTAAAATGTGACGAAGGCATATGTGAAATGGATTGTAGCTTTGAGGGACGACAGGTAATAAAAATTTCTGTTCTATTTGAAAATTTTTTAAATTTAAAATTAAAAATTTTTTAAATTTGTAGTGCAGTGCTACTAAACCATGTTGCGACGATCTTTACTGTAATGGAGGAATATGTCAACGGCAATGTAGACCTAGGAACCAACATGTATTAAAAATATCTATTCTTCTTGAAAAAGTTTTAAAACAATTATGTTAAAATTTTTATTTATGTTTTTAAATTAAATATTAAATTTTCACAAATTTCAGTGCTGTCAAAGTAATCAATGTTGTAGTGGTCTGAGATGTGATGGAGGAAGATGTAAAATGGGCTGTAGGCGTGGCGACCCGGTAATACAATTTTCTATTTCATTTGGAAAATTTAAAAATAATTTTTAAAATGAAATAAAAAGTTTTTACTTTTTTTTAAAATTGAAATTTATTAAATGTTAAAAAGAAATTGTAGTGCAATTTTAGGCGTCCATGCTGCGATAATCTTTATTGCAATGAAGGAACATGTCAAAGGGAATGCAGAAATGCTCGACAATCGGTAATACAAAATTTCTATTTTATTTGAAAAAAATTTTAAATAATTTAAAATGCAATTCAACTATTTACTTTCATATTTCAATTAAAAAATTTTAACAAAATTTTAGTGTGGTCGAAATAATCCATGCTGTACTGGACTGGAATGTAATAGAGGTACATGTGAAAGGGAATGTAGAGAAAATGGAGCTGAGGTAATAAAAATTTATTTTTAGAAATTTTTAAATAATCTGTAGATTGAAAATTAATTTTTTAATTTCCTTTACTAAATTGTAGTGCATTCAGGCAAAACAATGCTGTGGTAGACAATGCAACAGAGGTAGATGTGCAGGAAGAAGCTAAGATTAAAATTAATTCCAATTTAACTTCCCCTACGACTGGCCAGAAAATTTTTAAGGACCTCAAATGGACTAAAGCAGAACGTACAATTTCAATTTTTCAAGAAAATTCTATTCATTTAAAAAAAAACAGAAGCAACAGAAAACAATTTTTCTATTGTAAATTTAATTTATCTTTAAGGGGTCATACACAAACTACTTAAGGCTTTAAGGGGGGAGGGGGGGTCAAGTTAAATCTTACGAACAGCAGAAAAAATGGCGCTAATGAATAGAAAATGTCTTACGATGGGGGGGAGGGGGGGTCAAAATTTCTGAAAATATGCCTTACGTAGTTTGTGTACGGCCCCTAAGAAAAAAAAATTGTATCAGTCGATATGTTTTTAAAACATTTTGAAGAAAAGAGTAGGGGAGACCGGGGCGTAATGAATAATTGTAATTTGTTTAAAAACCGTAAATCGTAATAATTTCGCACAATAGACAAGTTATTGTACTTGGTATACTGCAAGTTTGTCGGAAGTTTCATTAATATTTATTCATTATTGTAAGAAATATAGTAGAAAAACTATTTTTGACATACGAAAGTAACTTTTCAAAATTTTCGTTTTTTTTCGTTTTTTTTTTAAATTTTTATTTATATGCTTCTAATTCGTTTTTTGAGTTTATCTCAAAATTTTGAGCAAATCTGTCAATTCTGACTTTGAATTTAGATTCAGCGGAAAAAAATGCATGGAAATATACTATAGTGTAGTGTCATAAAATTTTTTTTTTCATTTTTATAGTTTTAACACGTTTTTTTGAGCCAAATTATGTCAATTATATATTTTAATATATTTTCTATAAGAAATTTTGTAATAATTTAATAATTAAAGAAAAGTTTTTTAACAAAGTAAATTGGAGAAAGCTACATTTTCCTCAATGTTTGCTTTTTTAAATACCAATATTTTATTAACTTCTGAATGAATTATATTCAAAAACATGTTGTAATTAATAAATAATAAATATGCATAAAATTTATATAAAGAACTTACATTTTCAATTATTTAAGACGACGAGAAGTCGATCATCGCCTGAAGTGCAGGAGTCTACTCTTCCGCAATATCTGCACTTGCTTTGCAGACGAAACTGTAAATAAAATTTTTTTTTGTATTTTACTAAAAAAATAAATATTTTAACAGAATTCATTTCATTTTACACATATCATACACATTCATTTATTAAACACTAAAATTAATTTTTTAAAAAATAAAGTACTTTATTAAAAATATAATAGTCAGTGATTGAAGCAAGAGTGAATGATATAGTCAATGATAAAAGAAGTGGTGTTTAAATTTTTTAAAGTTAAATAATTAAAGTAATTTTATTTTAAATGTATATCTTTATAGACAATTGTATCGAGTATTGTTAAAAATAATTTTTTCAACGTTTTTTAAACATTAACATTTTATGTTATAAATAATAACACATTTCACAAACGCGCAGCAATTGAAGCATCCGCAGCAATTAACGCACTTACCCAATGTTAGAAAATAAAAACTTAAAATACTTTTAAACACAAACTCAATTAAACTTTTTCAAAAAAATTAATTTAACAGAATTCTATGAGAATTCAATTATTTAATTACAAAAATAAATACTTTATTGAATAATTGAATTCTTTCGACGAATATTAATAAAATAATAATTACGTTTTTCGAGAAATTCGATTAAAATATTGAAAATATTAATTTTCAATATTTAATAATAAATATTAATTTATTATTATGTATTCAAAATAATTGAAATTTTCCAATGGGTTTTATTATTTATGAAAATAATTGAATTCCTAAAAAGAATTTTATTATTAACGAAAATAATTGAATCCTTGTAAAAAAATTCATTCTATATATGAAATAAATAATTGAATATATATATAGGATTTAAATAATTGAATTTTCATAAAATTTTCTATTAAAAATTGATTGAAAATTAAAATTAAAAATTGATTGAGTCCTTGAAAAGAATATAATGAGAATTTTTTAAAATAATTAAATTGTTTTATAGAATTTCATTAAAGTTTTTGACAAAAAAAAAAATTCTGTCAAAGAATTTAATTAAAACTATATTGAAAATAGTTGCATTCTAATAAACAGTTTCATAAAAATCTTTGAAAATAAGTAATAATTAAACTTTATTTTAACAAAGAATTGTATTAAATTTTTTATGAAAATAATTAAATTCCTTCGAAGAATTTAAATTGAATTGAAAATAATTAAATTTCTCCAAAGAATTTCATTAGTTGCGAAAATTATATAATTCTTCGCAGGAATTATAATATATTTATAAAAAGAATTTTATTATTAATGCAAATAATTGAATTCGTTCCAAGAATGTTATTAAAGTTCTAAAAAGTAATAAATAAATAGAACTTAATAAATAAAAATTAATAAATTTGTAATAAGTGAATTTAAAAAAAAAATTCAAATTTGAAATCACTCAAAAGTTTTCATCGCAATTAATTGTTTTCTTCTTATTTATCAAAACAGCAAACTTTTTATACGGCGTAGGGAAGAGTTGTCAGGGTTGGTCAGTGGTTAGGGCTGAGACACCTTTCACATAACTCGCAGTGAAAAAACTTATTGTAATGTCTTTATAAGCCGTAGAGTGGGCAAATCCTTTTGAGCGGCACTGAATGTTTTTCAATTTTTGGCACAAAGCATTCAAAATGTATTTTTGCACCAACTGAAAATTTTTTTAATCAAAATCTGTTTTGGGCTCACTTGACGTGGAATGACACATACATATAAGAAAAAATTTGTATCAACGATTATACACTAACAACAAAAACAAGGATAAAATTAATTTTCAGAAAATGAAGTAAACAAGATATTTTAAAAAGAAAATAACAAATTGACGTTAATTTTGCAACTGAAAATAATATAAATAAACAGAATACATTTTTTGTGAGTATATAAACGGTGAGAAATTTTCTTTAAATTAAGTTTCAAGTTCAACTTTAAACACGTCAACCAAGCCGAGCAATTAAAAGAAAGGTAATATTAATAATGATTATTATTTAAAGAGCAATTCTGAATTAAAAAGTGAATTTCGAATAAAATATACAAATTTTTTATTTAGATGAAAACTTTTACCCTGGTATTTTTGTTCATTGGGGCTTTTGTCGTAGCCGTCAATAGCCAACAATGTGTAAACCGAAATGAACAGGTTAGTTATTAATTAATTGAAACAAAAAGTATGTTTCTATTTTTAAGAAGAATTTAAAATTTAATAAAAAATCTGAATAATAAATTATACTTTTTAGTGCGGGGGAAATCGTCGATGCTGTACAGGACTTAGATGTAACAGAAATAGATGTGAACCAGACTGCAGCTTAGAGGGGCAACAGGTAATAAAAATTTCTATTATATTTGAAAATTTGTTAAATAAAATTAAACTTTTTCATTAATTTGTTTAAATAAATTTTTTTTTAATTTTCCCGGGATTTTTAACGAAACAATTGTCAATTATCAGCAATTTATTGTCCCCCATTTTCTGATGATTTTAATTTATTTTCAATTAAAAATATTTTTAGTGCAATGCCAATCGTCCATGTTGTGATGATCTTCGCTGTAATGGAGGCAAATGTCAAAGGGAATGTAGACGCGAGAACCAACAGGTATTAAAAATATCTATTCTTTTTGAAAAAGTTTTAAAACAATTATTAATTATGTTAATAAAAATTAACATTGTTATTCATTTTTTAAAATTAAATATTAAATTTTAAAAAATTTTAGTGCGGTCGAAATGTTCGATGTTGTGATGGTCTGAGATGTAATAGAGATAAATGTGAAAGGGAATGTAGCCTACTTAACCAACAGGTAATACAAATTTCTATTTTATTTGGAAAATTTAAAAATAATTTGTTAAATAAAATAAAATTGTTATTATTTTTCTTTAAATGGAAAATTATTAAAAGTTAAAATTTTTAGTGCAATGCTAATCGTCCATGCTGCGATGATCTTCGTTGCAATGGAGGAAGATGTCAAAGGGAATGCAGAAATGCTCAACAATCGGTAATACAAAATTTCTATTCCATTTGAAAAAAAAATTTAAATAATTTAAAATTCAATTCAACTTTCTATTATCATAGTTTTAATTAAAAATTTTGTAATGAACAAAATTTTAGTGTGGACGAAATAATCCATGCTGTACTGGACTGCGATGTAATAGAGATAGATGTGAACGGGAATGTAGAGCAAATGGAGCTGAAGTAATAAAAATTTATTATTTTTAGAAATTTTTAATTAATCTGTAGATTGAAAATTAATTTTTTAATTTCCTTTATTAAATTGTAGTGCAATGAGGCAAATCAATGCTGTGGTAGACAATGCAACAGAGGTAGATGTGCAGGAAGAAGCGAAGATTAAAGTTAATTCCAATTTTACTTCCCCTACAATTGGCCAGAAAATTATTAAGGACCTCAAATGAACTAAAACAGAACGTACAATTTCAACTTTTCAAGAAAATTCTATTTATTTTAAAAATTTACCACTTTCATTCTGATCGAAATTTTCGATTGTAAATTATTATAATCAATAAAGACTGCAACAGAAAACAATTTTCCTATTGTAAATTTAATTTATCTTTAATAGAAAAAAATTATATCAGTCGATATGTTTTTAAAACTGTTTGAAGAAAAGAGTATTACTTTATAAAATAATAATTGCTCAAACAAAAAATAATTCAAAATTAAATTACAACTAAATTAGTAGAAATTGCTAGAAAATTAAATCATAGTTGACATTCGCTAATTCAGCATTACACACTGAAAAAAAATTCATTTCCTTCAAATAACTGATTACTTGACCATTATCAATTAAATATTTAATTGAATTAAATAATATTTATTGGCGTCAATAATTAAATATTATTATTTATGAAAATAATTAATTTCTTGTGAAGAATTTATTCAAATTTTTTTAAACAATAATTTAATTTCTTAGAATTTTTTAAAATTTAAAAAAAAAAATAAATTCCATAGAGAAATTTTATTAAAAAATTGAAAATAATTGAAATTTGACGAAGAATTTTATTAAATTTTTGAATTCCTGAGAAAATGTTTATTCTTGTAAAGAATTGAATTCTTGGGAAAAATTTTATTAAATTTCTTAAATAATTGAATTGCTTCGAAGAATTTTATTTTTTACCAAAATTATTGAATTGTTTTGAGGATTTTTACAAACAATTTTGACAATAATTATATTCCAACGTTATGTTTTACGAAAATAATTGTATCCTATCATCAATTTTATTATTAAAAAAAATTTTTTTATTATTTTATTTATTATTTATTAGTTTTATTATTTTATTTATTATTTATTAGTTTTATTATTTTATTTATGAAAATAAAATTGATTTCTTGCGAAGAATTATATTCAAATTTTTTTAAAATAATTTAATTCCCATAAAAAGTGTATTATTTGAGAAAATAATTGCTTTTTAAGAAGAACTTTATTGAAAATTTTATTAACTAAATCTTGTAAAGAATTTTGTCGAAATTTTTTTGAAACTATTTTATTTTAATTTTTCAAATAATGAATTTATTAGAACTATTTTTTCATTTCTCTGAATATATTTGAATTTTTAATAAAAAAAATTCCGCTTTTGTGAGTATGTATATAAACGGTGAGAAATTTTTTTTTTAAATTAAGTTTCAAATTCAACTTTAAGCAGGTCAACCGATCTGAGCAATTAAAAAAGAAGGGTAATATTATTAATAATTATTATTTAAGGAATAATTAATTCTGAATTTGACAGTGAATTTCGAATTAAAAACACAATTTTTAATTTAGATGAAAACTTTTATTCTTGTATTTTTGAGCATTGGGATTTTTATCTTAGCCGTAAATAGCCAACGATGTACGATTGAAGGTAATATGGTAAGTTATTAATTACTTGAAACAAGAAGCACGTTTCTATTTTTTATTTCTACTTTCAGAAGAATTTAAAATTATATAAAGAATTCTAATTAATGTAAATTAATTATTATTATTTTTAGCGTTTCGGGATATTGGAGATTGTTGTTCCAATCTCCAATGCAGAGGAAATATTTGTAGAAAACGTTGCTTACTACCTGGACAACATGTAAAAGAAATTAAATTATTTTTGAAAATTTTGCAAATCATTTCTAAAATAAAATTGGACTTTGTTTGAAATTTCTCTATTTTTTTCAAAATTACATTAAAAAATTTAATTTTACTCTTTAAATTTAAATCAGTAAAAATACACTGAAAAATAGTTATAAAAATTACTCAAATAACAGTCATTTTTTACTGAATTGACAATTGAATAATTACTGAAAATTTCAGTCATATTTAATTTATTATTTTATCATTATTATTATATTTAATTTTTCATATTCCAAATTTCAGTTACTTTTCATTTGGACAATCGCCAGTAAAGAATAACTAATGTTTCAATCATTTTTTAACTGAAATCCAGTGAAAATCCACTGATTGAAATCTCAAAAATAGAGTCACTGAAATTCAGTCAAATTTCACTGATTCAGTTTTAGAGAGGAATTAAAAAATTTGAAAATAATTTTTAATTATAGTGCAGTGGGAATATTCCATGCTGCCCGCCACTTGTATGCGACCGAGAATCAAGGCTATGTGAACATAGAGGTGATAATAGTTTTGAATGCAGTCTGAGATTGGTAATACAAATTTCTATTCTATTTGAGTAATCTTTTAAATTATTTGACAAATAAAATTAAACTTTTTTATTAACTTCTTTAAATTTAAAATTTTGAAATTTAAAAAAAAAATTTAGTGTGGGGTGAATCGTCGATGCTGTGACGGTCTAAGATGCAACATAGATAAATGTGAAAGGAATTGTAGAAAAGATGGAGCTCAAGTAATAAAAATTTATTATTTTCAGAAATTTCTAAATTGTAATCTGTCAATTAAAAATTAATCTTCTAATTTTCTTTATTAAATTTTAGTGTATCGAGAATAATCAATGCTGTAGTAGAATATGCTTCAGAGGCATTTGTGCAAGACGAAGTGGATTGTGAAAACTCGATCCAAATTTTACACTGGAAAATGAGTGAAAATTCTGATATCCCGAAATTTTTACTAATTTAAATAAATGAACATGTCTTTAAACATCTATTTGTTTTAAAAAAATCAATTGTATATTAAAAACAATGTTTAATGTTAAAATTATAAATAAACGAGAAAAAAACAAGGATAAAATTTATTTTCATAAAATCTAAAACAAACCAAACCTGAAGATATTAAAAAAAAATTGTAAATATTGACATAAATTATTGTGCAATTGAATATTCAAAAAGAGAAAAAAAATTACAAAAATATTTTAGGGCCAAAATAAGTGTAACCGGCTACTTGAAAATTTTTTCTCTTCAATTTTCAAGTTATCTATGATTTTTGGTAGATATATATGAGTACACTTTTTCCCCCTACAATATTTTTCAAAAAAAAAAATTTTATTATTGAAGTAATCAGGTGTTGAAGTTTTGGGTCATTTTTTTGCATTTTATTATTACTTTGAAACAAATAAAGATAATTAATTGAATTTTTTTAAAATTAAAGTCTAAAGTCTATACTTTAATGATAAAATAAAGCGATTGCTGAAAAATTAAAATTTACAATTCTTTTAAACAAAATTGCAAATTCAAGAATGTTCTCAAAGTTTATTCTTTTTTATTTAAAAAAAAAATGTTTATTCTTGAAAAGAATTCTTGGGAAGAATTTTATTAAAATTTCTTAAATAATTGAATTGCTTTGAAGAATTTTATTTTTGACCAAAATTATTGAATTGTTTCGAGGATTTTTACAAACAATTTTGACAATAATTATATTCCAAAGTTATATTCTACGAAAATAATTGTATTCTATGATCAATTTTATTATAATTTTAGAAATTTATAAAGCATTTTATCATAATTTTTTTAAAAAATTGAATTCTCGAAAAAAATTTTATTATTTATGAAAAGGAAATATCCCATAAATAGTGTATTATTTGAGAAAATAATTGATTTTTTAAGAAGAATTGTATTGCAAATTTTATTAACTAAATTTTGTAAAGAATTTTTTAAAAAATTTGAATTCAATTTTTCAAAATAATTGAATTTCTCAGAACTACTTTTTTTCAATTCTCTGAATATATTTTAATTTTTTCGAGAAATTTCATTAAAAAATTAAAGATAATTGAATTGATTCGAAGAAATTTATAAAAAATTGGTAAATAATTGAATTCTTTTGGAAAATGTTATTAAAATAGTTCAAAATTCAAAATGGTAGATCCAATATGGCGGACCAATTTTTTTTTAATTCGAAGAAATTAGATTGAAACTTATTACTCGGGAGTTTTCGAGGTTGCTGAAATTATTTATTAATAAACGTAAACTAATTATTTGTAAATAAATTGCTGCAGAAATAGATAAATTTCACGAACTAAATTACTTACAAAAAAAAGAAATTTTAATTATTTTTAATTTTTAAATAACCTACAAGTGAATTTAACTTAAAATTAGTTCTTATTAACTTTTTAATCAGTGAAGTATTATTATTCGAATCAGAGTCTGTCAGTAACAAATTATTGCTATTTTGAAGTAATTCAGATTTATAGAGTATAGAAAATGATATCAAAAACTTCGAAATAACATTTTTTAGTCGAATTAAATTATTTAAATGAAACTTCAAATATATTTGCTATACACTAAAACATATTGAAGTTTAATTGAAACTTATAATTTGGTTCATTTTTTAGTGATTTTAATTTATTTATAATTAACTTATAATTTTGAATAAAGCCTTAGATTTTAAAACATGTTTGTTTAAACTTTTAAACCAAAACAAAAAATATGTTTGAATTAAATATATTTATTGAAAAAAAATATTTTTTAATTTCCGGAGTAGATATTTTTTATATATTAGGATTAAGCTTACAAACTAATAAAATTTCAATTAAACAAAAACATCTAAAATTATTTTTCTGTTTCATTTAAATATAATGTTTTTTCAGTGCTCATATAAGAAACATTTCAACGATTATACACAAACAACAAAAACAAGGATAAAATAATTTTTAGAAAATGAAGTAAAGAAGATATTAAAAGAAAAAATAAAATATTGACATTAATTTTCCGAACTAAAAATAATATAAATAAAAAAAAATGCATTTTTTGTGAGTATATAAACTGTGAGAAATTTTCTTTAAATTAAGTTTCAAGTTCAACTTTAAGCGGGTCAACCGATCTGAGCAATTAAAAGAAGGGTAATATTATTAATAATTATTATTTAAGGAACATTGCTGAATTTGATAGTGAATTTCGAATTAAATACACAATTTTTTATTTAGATGAAAACTTTTACCCTTGTATTTTTGTCCATTGGGGCTTTTGTCGTAGCCGTTAATAGCCAAGGATGTGTGAACGATAATGAAAGGGTAAGTTAATAATTAATTGAAACAAAAAGTATGTTTCAATTTTTCAAAAGTAATTAAAAATAATATAAAAAATCTAATTAATAAATTATACTTTTTAGTGCAGTGCGACACGTAGATGCTGTGACGGACTTAGGTGTAACAATGATAGATGTGAAAGAGACTGTAGCCTAGAGGAACAAGAGGTAATAAAAATTTATATTCAATTGAAAAAAAATTTTTAAACAATTTGTGAAATAAAATTGTACTTCTTTATTAACTTGTTTAAATTAACAATTATTAAATTTTAACAAAATCTTTAGTGCAGGTCGGACCGTACATGCTGTGGCGATCTTCGGTGCAATGGAGGAAAATGTCAAAGGGAATGTAGACGTGACAGACAACAAGTAATACAAATTTCTATTATTATTGAAAAAATTTTTAAATAATTATTTTTAAAGAAAATTTAAGTTTTTTATTAGTTTTTTTAAAGTAAAAATTATTAAATTTTTGTAAATTTTAGTGCAGTCGTACTATTCGATGCTGTGATGGATTGAGATGCATCAGAGACAGATGTGAAAGGAACTGCAGCCTACGAGACCAAGAGGTAATCAAAATTTCTATTCATTAAAAAAAAAAATATTTAAAATAATTTCTTGTATAAAATTATAACTCTTGTATTAACATTTTAAAATGAAAAATTATTTAATTTTAATCAAATTTTAGTGCGGTAGGAATAACCCATGCTGTACTGGACTGCGATGTAATAGAGATAGATGTGAAAGGGATTGTAGAGCAGATGGAGCTGAAGTAATAAAAATTTATTATTTTTAGAAATTTTCAAATAATCTGTACATTGAAAATTAACTTTTTAATTTCCTTTATTAAATTTTAGTGTCGTGAGGCAACTCAATGCTGCAGTGGACAGTGCAATCAAAGAAGATGTGGAAGACGACCTGAAAATTAAAAATAATTCCAATTTTATATCACCTTCAATTGTCCAGAAAACTATTAAGGACTTCTGTTGATTAAGATAATTAAGAATGTACATTACGAAATTTCAATTTTTCAAGAATATTGTATTTAATAAAAAAATGTACAACTTTCATTTCGAACGAAATTTTTAATCGGAAACTAATATTTTAATGAATAAAAACTGTGAATAAAAACAATTTTTCTATTGTAAATTTAATTTGCCTTTGAAAAACAAAATTATATTTGTCGATACGTTTTTAAAACTTTTTGACGCTAAAAGTACTATGTAGTTTAGAAAAATATAATTACTACTAGAAATTAGAATTACTAGAAATTAGAAATGATTGGAGAAATATAATTATTTTCAAAAGTAATAACATTCTTCGCAGAAAAATTATTGTCAAAAATTTTTTTAAATTCTCATCAAAATTTCAATTATCTTTAGAAATAATTAAATTCTTCGCCGAAATTCCATTATTTTCAAAAATTTTCCTCAATTCAATGATTTTTAATATCTACTATTTTTATAAAATTTTCCAAAAGAAATCAATTGTTTAAAAAAATTTTTTAATAAAATTCTACACAATTTTTCAATTATTTTCAAAAAATAATGAAAATTTCACAGGAATTATTTACAAATTTTTTTTATAAATTTCTTCGCAATCATTCAATTATTTCCATCAAAAATAAAATTTTCATGGGGATTCAATTATTTTATTTTATTTATTTTTAATACAATTTTAATCGACATCCAAAAAATTCTTAAAAATTTTATTAAAATTCCTCAAAAGAATTTAGTTATTTAAAAATTTATAAATAAAGTTCTTTATGAGAATTCAATTTTGAGAAACGTGCAATTATTCAACAAATTGTTATTTTTGTCATTGTATTTAAATAATTGAATTCTAGGAGAATTTTCTCATAAACATTGATTTAAAAATTGATTTCAGTTAAAATTTTATATTATAATTGAATTTTAAAAGCATTAGAGTTAATAATAATTAGAGTAAAATAGTAGATTTTTAAAAATAATTGAATTTTGAAATTAATTTTTTTGAAAAAGTTTAATTAAATTTTTTTTTAATATTATTTGAAGTTTTTATTTTTTAATAATTATGTAATTGAAGAATTTACCAATCATATGAAATTTCGTAATTCGTAGGACAATTGTCAATTCGTGTAAAAGAATTTTAGGTTTTGTGAATCTTCTCATAATTAACAATTATAATAAATTAGATATAGAAAATTTAAATTTATTATTATCTCTATGAGGAAGCAAAGTGTTCATGAAATGAACACCAAAATTATAAAAAAACATACAACTTGGCAGCGGTTTTTTTAAAAATTATTTTGCGTATTCTGAAACTCATGTAAAACTATAAATTGACAATAAGAATTTCGATGGAATGAAAATTACAAAATCGAAATTTTTTAGTCCAAGATTTTGAGTTGCAATTTTGGAGACAGGGCATCAACATGGTATGTTTTCAGCATAAATATTGCACATGTTGAAAAATATTTTAATCAAAACCTTTTTGGGCAAGAGGGGTGTCTCATTTGATGTACAATGACGCACATATAAAAAAAATTTGCATTTAACGAGTATACACAAACAACAAAAACAAGGATAAAATTTATTTTCAGAAAATGAAGTAAGAAATTTATAAATGAATTAAAATATTGACATTAATTTTGCGACTAAAAATAATATAAATGAAGAAAAGACAGTTTTTGTGAGTATATAAACGGTGAAAAATTTTCTTTTAATTAAGTTTCAAGTACAACTTTACACAGGACAATCTGAGCAATTAAAAAAAAGGTAATATTACTTAACTTTTATTATAATTATTACTTATTTGTGAAACAATTTTGAATTAAAAAGTGAATTTCGAATTAAGTACGCAATTTTTTATTTAGATGAAAGCTTTTACCCTGGTATTTTTCTGCATTGGGGCTTTTGTCATAGCCGTCAATAGCCAAAATTGTGTAAACGAAAATGGACAGGTATGTTATTAACTAATTGAAACAAAAAGTATATTTCTATTTTTCAGAAGTAATTGAAATTATAAAAAAAAATCTTTTTAGTGCAATACGTTACAACGACAATGCTGTAGAGGACTACGATGTACCAGAGAAGGTTGTAAACCAGACTGCAACTTAGATGGAGAAGCGGTAATAAAAATTTTTTGTACTATTTTAAAATTGTTTTTGAAAATTTCTTAAATAAAATTAAACTCTTTTGATTAATTTGTTTAAATTAAAAATTATTAAATTTCAAAAAAAAAATTGTAGTGCGCTGCTGGTACACCATGTTGTAATAATCTGCAATGTAACGAACGAAAATGTCAAAGGGAATGTAGACGCGAAAACCAACAGGTATTAAAAATTTCTATTCTTCTTGAAAAAGTTTTATAACAATTTTTTAAATTTAAATCCAACTTTTGTTATTGATTTTTTTAAATCAAAAATTTTAGTGCAGCCGAGATAATCGCTGCTGTGATGGCCTTCGCTGCAATAGAGATAGATGTGAAAAAAACTGCAGCCTTCTAGATCAACAGGTAAAATTTCTATTTTATTTGGAAAATTTTAAAATAATTTGTTAAATAAAATAAAAATTTTTTATTTTTTGAAATTTATTAAATGTTAAAAAAAATTTCAGTGCAGTGCTAGTCGTCCATGTTGTGATAATTTGCAATGCAACGGAGGAAGATGTCAAAGCGAATGCAGGAGAGAAGGACAACAGGTAATAAAAATTTGGATTTAAAAAATTTACCACATGACAAATAGGATAAAAGTTATTTAGATTATAAGAATATTCAGACAATTAAGAATTATAACAAATCCAACTTTTGTTATTGATTTTTTTAATCAAAAAACAAATTTCAGTGCAGCCAAAGTATTCGCTGCTGTAATGGCCTTCGCTGCAATAGAGATAAATGTGAAAGAAATTGCAGCATTCGAGGTCAACAGGTAATAAAAATTACTAATATTTACCAAAAAAAATATTTAAAATAATTTGTTGTCTAAAATTATAACTCATGTATTAATTTTTTTAAATGAAAAATTATTTAACAAAATTTTAGTGTGATCGCAATAACCGATGCTGTACTGGACTTAGATGTAACAGAGATAAGTGTGAATTGGATTGTGCATTAGTTGGAGCTGAAGTAATAAAAATTTATTATTTTAAAAAATTTTTAAATAATCTGTAGATTGAAAATTAATTTTTTAATTTGCTTTATTAAATTTTAGTGTCGCGAGGGAAGTCAATGCTGTAGTACACGATGCGTCGGAGGTAGATGTGCAAGACGAAGTAAATAACAAAACTTGTTCCGATTTTATTTCACCTACAATTGGCCAGAAAATTATTAAGGACTTCAATGGACTAAAACAATTAAGAACGTTCAATTTTAATTTTTCTAGAACATTCTATCTTTTAAAAAAATGTAGAACTGTTATTGTGACCGAAAATTTCGATTGTAAACTAATATTATAATCAATAAAGACTGCAAAAGAAAAAAAAATTTTCCATTTATTTAATTTACCCTTAAAGAACAAAATTATATCATACAATATGATTTTAAAAGTTTTTTAAGCTTAAAGTACAACTTTGTAAAATACTAATTACTAAAACAGAATTAAATTCAAAAATTTAATTAGCAGAATTTCGGGTAGCCCCGGACACTTATGCTTTAAGATAAATAATTTGTGTTCATATTTTTAAAATATTAATTAAATTTTTTTATGTCAAACAGAATGCTTCTTTTAATAACCTTTCGCATAAATTCATTTGTAAAATAATCAAACCTTTTAGGAGAAAAATAAGGAAAAATATGAGTATTAAAATCCGAACCTTTAACAATTTGGCGGGTAACCCGGAAATGCGCGAAAATATTTTATAATTTAATTTCCTTTAAATAAACGATAAAAAAATTTGTGCAAGTTTACCGACCCTCTAAATTACTAAAATTAAAAATTAGTCGAAATTCTGATGTACTATAAATGAAATTTTAACAACTAAAATTTAGTGAACATTTCGCTAATTAAGATTTATTTATTATATACACACATGTATTATTAATTAAATAGTATTAAGGAACATGTATTTAAACAACTAATTGTTATGAAAAAAATCAATTGTTTATTTAAAAAAAATTTTAATGTAAAAATTATAAATAAACGAAAACAAACAAGGATAAAATTTATTTTCATACAATCTAAAACAAACCAAACCTGAAGATATTTAAAAAAAATGTAAATATTTACATAAATTATTGTGAAATTAAATATTCAAAAAGGGAAAAAAATTACAAAAATATTTTATTTAAAAAAAAACTCATCATGATAGAAAAAAATAACGCATTTAAATAAATAATTGTCAGTTTTTTTCAGTATATAAACCACGACAATTTTTTATTAAACGTACATAAGTTGCAAAAGTTTGGTTTTAAAGAAGACAATCGATCTGAGCAGTTATAAGAAAAGGTAAAATTAAAAATACTTATAAAATTAAATAAAGTCAAAATTTTAATAATTAAGGTAAACAAATCTTCTCATTAGTAATAATGAGAATATAATTACGGATTTTTTTTTAAATAAAATAATCACGATTTTTTTAGATGAAATTTTATACTATTTTGCTTTTGGGAGTTACACTTTTTATCGTGACCGTCAATGGCCAGAGATGTGCATGGGAAAATGACCAGGTAAGTTATTAATTATTGTAAATATTAATTTATTAAAAATGTTTACTATATGTAAAATTAAAATGATTAAAATTTTTCATATAAAGTTACAAACAATTTAGTCATTAAAAAATAAATACTATTTCCTGTAATTTGTTACCGAAAATACTAATTTATGAGAAACATTATATTTTTTATGTTTAGTGTAATCGCAGACATTGTTGTCCTGGCCTTCGGTGTGAACGTGGAGGATGCCGTTTCATCTAATAAATATGGTCAAAATTTCAATTCCAAATAACAATACTTGATACAAATTAAAATTATATCAATCTTTTCTATTTCAAATTTTTTATTATGAAACCAATGTTTTAAATATTAAAAATAAGAAAATGAAAATATTAATGTTTCAATTTTATTTTTACAGCAAACAATAATCAATTAATTAATGAATTAACTAAATTAACTACCGAATAGAAAAATAAGTAAAAATGTACAAACAATCGCAATTGTTGTCGGGGTTTTTAATGTCAACCGACAACAAAAAAATTTCATTCTAAGACATGGAATTCAGGGAAAAGTCAGCGATTTTTGTTAAAAGTACTGGAAAAAATTAAATGTTTAGAATTTATAAGAAAGCTCTGAATTTTTGTGTCTTTTTCTTCGCCTCATATACTGCGTGAAATTACTATTACGAATTTTAAAAAAAAACTCAATTTTTTCTATTTCTGACAATAATTTCTTTTTAAATAACTTCATTCTTGCAAAGAACTATCATTTCTGAAAAAAAGAAAATTTTAAGAAAATAAAAAAAATTAATTTTATTTAAATATTTTTAAATTAATTGAATTTCAAAAGAGTTGCGTTTACAATTTTATTCATAAATAGATTAACTTCACAAGATTTTAATTTAAATTGTATAAAATTTCAATTTTCAATAAATTTAATTAAAAATAGCTAAAATAAGTTTAGTTTCTAATTTTAATGTCAATACATATTTAATAATAATGTCTATTAACTATTCTAATGTTCTTATAAAATAAAAAAGTTGATTGGAATTTACTTTCTGAAAAAATCAAAATTTCTATAACAATCGTGATTCAAAAATATAAGTTCTCCAAAGTTTTCACTCCTTTTTAAAAAAATATTTAAGATTTTCTTGAAAAATGTGATTAATCTAGATTAAAATATAAATTTTTTCCTTTTTTTCCAAAAGGAACTTGGAATTTTATTAAAAATTTGTAATTGATAAATCAAATTTATAAATTATAAACAATTTGTTCTTTTATTTTTAAGAACTTAACGTAAAAATCACAATTATCTTTATAAATAACAAAATTCTTCTCCAAAGTTCAATTATTTTCATAAATGTCAAAAAAATTCTTGTCCTAATTTCAATTATTATCAAAAATTTTTCAAATTTCAATGATTTTCAATATCTACTATTTTAATAAAATTTCTCAAAAAGAATTCAATTATTTAAAAAAAAATTTAATAAAATTGTATGCAAACATTTCATTATTTTCATAAATAATAACAATTTCACATGAATTCAATTATTTTTATAAATAATACAAGTTTTTTAAGGAATTCAATTATTTTTATAAATATTATTAAAATTTAATTATTTTCAACAATTCTGATAAAATTCTTCGAAACAATTAATTCAATTATTTTTATAAATTGTAAATTTTTTTTCAAGGAATTCAATTGTTTTCATAAAAAATAATTTAAAATTCTAGAAAATAATAATTGAATTAAAATGATGAAAATAATTTTGATGAAGTTACAGTAACAATATTCTTATAATATAAAATAATGATTTTATCTCTCGGTCATCTTTAATCATCCTGTTCCAAAAATAAGATTAAAAATATAAATTGTGCAAATATTTTTCTTTTTTTTTCTAAAACAAATTAATAATTTTGTTAAAGAAATTGTGATTTATAAACAAAAATAATGCAAAATAAATAAATTTTCTATTTCTTAATCACAGTTGTTTAATAATTTTCTAAATTTCCTTAGAAGTAAAGAACAAAAATTTGCATAATTTCAATTTGACAAAACATAATATTTAACAAAATTTTAGTCTTTTAATGAAAAGAAGTGAAAAATATTCTGATGATTTCTATTTGTCATTACAATTTTGAATTAATTATAAAATAAAAATAATTATAACTTAATAATAAAGTATACAATCTACCTAAAGTTAACAAAAAAAAAACAAAAGTATAAACAAAAGAAAACTTCAGAGTGTGAGGGACAGAAAAGGTGAATGAATGAAAGAATGAAAGAACATTCAAATTATTATAATTAATTATAATTAATTAATTAATTAATAGTTAATTTTTTAACGCAAATATTTTTTAAACAAATGAAAAGAGGTAAAGTTTTGTTTCAAAAGTATAAATAAAACATTAACATTTTCTTTTTTTTGGTATTTATTATTTGAAGCAATGGATTTACACAGTAAAAAAATTTGATTAGAAAAAATTGATGCAATTTTAATTTACATCAAGTATTGCTATTTAGAATTAAAATAAGTATAGCACTAATTTCAAAAAGTGTATATACGCTAATAAATCAGTTAAATTTCACTAATTCACAGCGTATATACTCTAATTAGAATCAAAGGTATACTTAACAGTAGTTCAATAGCGAATGCATTTTTCAGTATCGCATCGTAATCCAGGACAGCAGGTATGCTGTAAACTACACTGAAAATTAGAAGTAAAATGTTTTTAATAAATTATTATTTTAGAAACAAATTTCTAAAGGTAGTTTTTATTTTTTAAAAAATATTAATTGTTTGTTAAATTAAAGGACGATTTAACTCTTTTTAACTTTACGTGGTGAAAAATCGTAATAGGTTAATATTTACAGTTATTAATAACTTACAGATTCTTTTTCATATTTACATGCTTGGACATTGAAGGTCGTGACGAAAAGTGTAATGCACAATAGCAAAAGAGTGTGAAGTTTCATCTAAGACGAACGTGAATTAAAAATTTTTGTTAAGCATTCATAATTACATTCTCATCACTAAGGATAACATATTTTTTTATTGAAATTAGTATAATTTAATTTTCAAATAGTAAAACTGAGCCGAATAAAAATTAAATTAACATTGCAAGTCAATGTTGTCAATATTAAGTTCAAATGTTGTGCTATTTATAATTCTGAATGTTGAGAAATTATCAGTCTATCAAGTCATAGTAAATAATTAGCATTTTGTTTAAATTTATTAATTAAATTTTATTTAATTTTATAAGAAATATTACCTTTTCTTATTACTGCTTAATTCTGTTTTCTTCGTTAAAACGAAAATTGAAATTGATGTTAAATAGAATTTTCTCGCGATTTATATACTCGCAAACGTTCAACGATTATTTATATAATTGCATTATTGTCTGACAGTTCTTACGCACAATAGAAAAAATGGCGCTAATGTATGTAAAATTTATTACGAAGGGGGGGGGGGGGGGTCAAATTTAAAAAAAAGTCTTACGTAATTTATGGACGGACGCTAATGAAATGTCCATGCAAAATTTTCCATCTTCTTCGAATTTTTTTTATTCACTTTTATTGATTAATTATTACCAATAATTATTATTGTTTCTTATTTAATCTTAAGTTTTCTTTAGTTTGTTATCAATACTGAAGATATTAAAATTAAATGCAAATAATTACATAAATACATGAATAAATCAAAAAACACTGAATATTCAACAGCAGATAAATCATATTTAACAAATAATAACTGTTCGAGACGAGTAAAACTTAAATGTGATTTTGATGTGTGAGTTATTTTAAGAGAATGCGTCTTATCATTGTAAACGTGTAATCAAAAAATTAAATTAAATGGAAAATAAATAATAAAAATACGAAAATCTATTTATAAAATAACTTTCCATGTAAATTAAATAATTGTAAATAAAATATATTTTTGACATTCTCTTTTTAATTTTAATTGTAGTTTTAAGTTAACTATATTGTCAAAATTAAAAATTAGTACAAACTTTGGTATATCGAAATTTTTATTAATTTAAATTAACGCAGACTTTTCCCTAATTTAGATTTGGATCAAAATTTTTATTCTAAATAACAATACTTGATGCAAATTGCATACATTTTTTCTATTCAAAAATTTTATTGTAAACTCAATGTTTTAAATAATAAAGACGAGAAAAAAATATTAATTATTCAATTTAATTTTAAAAAAATAAGTAAATAAAAAAATCGATAAACCATAATCTTTATATAGTTTTACTCGAAGATTTAGAACGATAAAAAAAGTTGAACACAATTATTTTTTAATATAAATTTTAGTAATTTTTTACTAGAATTACACAAACAGTTTTAAAAAATGGTTGGAAATTGTATTGTATAATAAAATTGTATATTACAATACAAAATATATTATTATAAAATTTATTATAATATATGAATAATATAATGTCGTATATTAAACTGCATTTTAAAACATATATTAAATATTTATTTTGCCTATAAAGAAAAAGTAAACTAAAAATTTACAAACGGAAAAAAATTGAAAAAATGTTTCAACTTTTTTAAAAACACAAAGAACATTGGAAGTAAACTAAAGAAATATTATAAATTGCTTTTTTTTGCTTTTTGTTTTTTTATTGAACATACAAAATTCACTTGACAGAAAAAGTTAAGGACAAATATTAATGATGTCAATTTTTTATTTTTTTTATTTAATAATTTTGAAAAATTTAAATTTTGTCAAATTTTCTTTGACTCAAGTCATTTGCCATAGCACAAATGAAGCAGGAGAATTAAAAAGCCTCAGCTACCAAGACGTCTCACACATCTTTTTGAGAATGGATCGCATCTAAAACCCTGACAGCATCTTCGACTGTTCTCACACTTGAATTTGAAAAAATGTTCAATTAAAATATTTTAGAAATGAAATTTATTTTAAAGGCAATGATTTTCGTTTTTAATTTTTCTTTTCTTTTTAAAAGTTTTCATTTTTGTTATAAAATTTCAATCGAATATATGCGAAAAATCTAAGAGAGATCAGTGAAAATAATTCTGATTACAATTATAATTAAATATTGTATAATTATATACAATTATAATTAAGAATTTTATTTTATTAAAAAAAAATATTTTTTTATTTTTTTTTAATCGTATTTAATTATGCAATACATAAATTACCCGTTCATTGTCACCAAGACATTGACCATTAACAGTAAAGACGAAAAGTCCAACGAAGAAAAGTAGAACAGAGTAAAGTTTCATCTAAATGAAAACCAATTTTTTTAAATAATTAAAATTCAATTAAATTGGAAATTTTTTATAAAAATAATTATAAGAGAGCTTTTACCTTTTGATTATTGCAGCAGTTCTTTCTTTACTATTCTCTTCTAAACAAGACAAAAAGAAGTAGTCGAACAAATTTTTTTAACAATTTATATACTCAAAAAAATACTGACGATTATTATTGATATAATTTTGTTATTATTGCTAACAAAAACGATTTTCCTCTTTTTAGAACTACGTTTTCACCATTTTTTTCCCTTTCAAAAATAACAATGGTTTTTTTTCGGAGAGAAAATTAATATCTAATTTATCTGAAATTTTTTTTTTATTATTGCATATAATTGTTTATAATTTTTATTACAAAAAAAATTTGAACTTCACATTATTTTTTTAGAACAAATAACTGGAGGTAAAGTTCTGGTGTAAAAGTATAAATAAAACATTAATATTTTCTTTTCTTGATGTTTATTTATTATTTAAAACAATTGGTTTGCAGTAAAAAATTTGAATAGAAAGAAAGCGCTTTCGCATAATTATGAATTATAAATAATTTAGAATTATTTCTAGAAATTAAAAAGTATTTTTTTTTATTTACATGAAATATTTATGAAATAAAAAGTATTGTAAATTAAAAATATAATTTTTTAACAAAAATTTTAAGAAGAAAGGACAGAAGGTAAAGTTTTGGTATAAAAGTAAAAATGAAACAATAATATTTTCTTTTTTTTTATTATTTTGTAGCAATGGGTTTACAGTAAAAAATTTAAATAAAAAAAACATATGCGTAATTGTAATTTACATTATGTATTGTTATTTAGAATTAAAATTTTGTTTAGCCTCCTCGTCGGCATTTTCCGCTGTTACATCTAAGTCCAGTACAACAAGGTTTAGTTCTGCTGCACTAAAAAATTAGAAATAAAATTTTATTAATAAATTAATATTTTAGAAACAATTTACTAGAGGTAGTTATTATTTTTTTTTAAATATTAATTGTTTGTTGAATTAATTTAACTTTTTAACTTTACGTGGTAAAAATCGTAATAGATTAATATTTACAGTTATTAATAACTTACAAATTCATTTTCCTTTTGACATGCTTGGACACTAAAGGTCATGACGAAAAGTGTAATACACAATAGCAAAAGAGTGTGAAGTTTCATCTAAGAAGAACATGAATTTTAAATTTTATAAAATATAACAATTCTTATTCTACTTATAATTTTAAATGTTGAGAAATTATCAATCTTCAAAGTCAAAGTAAATAATTGGAATTTTGATATATTTTATTGATTTTATTTAGTTTCATCGAATTTTATTAATTTTATTAATTATTAATTCAATTTTATTAATTTTATTAATTATTAATTCAATTTTATTTAATACATTTTATAAGAAATATTATCTTTTCTTATTACTGCTTACTTCTGTTTTCTTCGTTAAAACCAAAATTGGAATTGATGTTAAATAAAATTTTCTCTCGATTTATATACTCACAAACGTTCAACGATTATTTATATAATTGCATTATTATTACGTACAAATTAAAATTTTCCGTTTCTCAATAACGAAATATTTGTGCAAAATTTTCCCTCTTTTTCGAATTTTTACCTTATTTCTTTATTGCTTAATTATTATCAATATTTATTATTGTTCACATTTTAAGTTTTTTTTTTAATTTGTTATCAACACTGACGATATTAAAAGTAATGTAAATATTTACATGAATATATCAATAAAACAAAAGACACTGAATATTCAAAACTGGAGAGAATAAATTTACAAAAATAAACATTTTCATTTTTAGAAGCAAATAAATCGTATTTAACAAATAATAACATTATTATGCAGACATAATTAAAAAATAAATAAATAATTTTTCAGAGTATATAAAGCGAGAGAAATTGTTGTTCTGCATCAAGTTGCAAATTTTGTTTCATATAAAAAAACCCATAGCAGCAATTAAAGATGGTAAAATTACAAAAACTCAATATATATTAATTCTAATGTTTATTAATTTTTTTTAATTCATTGAATTTTAAATTGAATAAAATTTATTTTGTTCAGGTGAGACTTTACACTCTTTTGCTTTTGTGCGTTGTATTTTTCGTATTCAGCGTCAATGGTCAATGTGCAAAAGAAAATGAATCGGTAAGTTAATAATTATTTTAAATGTTAGTCTATCACGATTTTTTACCATGTAAAATTAAAAGGAATTAAATTTCTTTTTTAATTTTTCAAACTAATTTATCAAAACATAGACACTGCCTCTAGTAATTTGTTTCTAAAATATTAATTTATTAATAATATTTTATTTCTAATTTTTTAGTGCAGCAGAACTAAACCTTGCTGTACTGGACTTCGATGCAACAGTGGCAAATGCCGACGAGGAGGCTAAACAAAATTTTAATTCTAAACAACGATACTTTATGTAAATGAAAATTGCTTCAGTTTTTTATATTCAAATTTTTTACTTTAAACCTATTGCTTCAAATAATAAATATTAGGAAAAGAAAATATTACTGTTTTACTTTTACTTTTATACCAAAACTTTACCTTCTGTTCTTTTTTCTTAAAATTTTTGTTAAAAAATCATATTTTTAATTTACAATATTTTTTACTTTATAAATATTTCATGAAAATGAAAAAAATACTTTTTAATTTCTAGAAATAATACTAAATTATTTAAATTCATAATAATTCGAAAGCGCTTATTTTATAAAAAAAATATTAAGCGCAAATTGTTTCCTTTAGAATTTATGTTTTAATTAAAATTTAAATACAATAAACATTTTTAACAAACAATTTTTTTTTTACTTAAAAATTATTATTAGTCATAGAAACATTTAATTAATAACGACTATGAAAAGAAAGTATTATTGTTTTAATTTTACTTTTACACCAAAACATTATCACCAGTCATTTGTTTAAAAAATATTTTTTAGAAAACAATTTTTTAAATTTACAATTCTTTCCACTTCATAAAATATATTCCATGTAAATGAAGAAAATCAAAATTTTCAATCTTTTGAAACGTATGAAAAATTATGTTAAAAATAATTAAAATCCTGCAATAAGTTTTACTATTTATAAATTAATTAAATTTTTTAAAATAATTAAATTTCTGCCATTTTTAGGGGTGTCAAATTTTTTTTACACTTTTTCATTACCTGAAATCATATTACACTATATAAAAAATTAATAAAAGTAATTTTTAACTAATTTACCATTTTTCTTTTATTTTTCAAAAAATTCGATGTTTTGAAAAAATTAAAATTTTTGAAAATCCACACGATTGATTGTTGAGAATCATGAAATAAGTTTTTCAAAAATTTGGCAATGAAAAATAATAAAAATTACGAGAGTTGTTCAAATTTTTTGAAAATTTTGATATTTATTTAAAAAATTATTAACTAAATAAATTTTTTTTTAATTTTTCGATAAGCATTTCATAAATTTAAATATCAAAATTTTTCAGAAAAAATATTGACCATAAACAACAGACATTTAGATGAGTTTTATAATTGTTTATAGAAACTTTTGCCGAATGTCATCACGCCTTTTTTGATTTGTTAGGAAGTAAAGAAAAATGTGCGAAATAAAATAAGGTGTAAATTATTTTATTAAAATTTCCTTAGAATTTTTTTTTTTGCATTAAAAATCGTTCTTTCGTAAAAAAAAACATTTTCCAAATTGTATTATTCTATACTTGAAAAAATTCAAAAATAATCTTGATGAAAAAATGAAAATATATGAAGTAATTTACATATAATAGGAGAGAAAATTTAGAAAGTGCAATAAAAAGGAAAAAAAACAAAATTCGTGATAAAAAAACATTTCGTTTGGGAGGTCGGGAATTTAAATCACACGCGCAAAAACATTTATTTTCGAAATTGGAAAGAGATGAGATTTTTGCAAGTGTGCTTGCAAATTATGAATATTGCGTCGCCTGAAGCGCACACCCGCAATGAGAGCCGTGCCAAGCTACCGCACAATATATAATTTTATGGCTCCACTTGGCACAACTCAAGAGATCGCGAATGCTCAGATTGTTTGCACATGCATGTACCCGCACACACAATGCTCCAATTCCCGTTGTCTGGAGAGCAAAAATGCCCGAGGAAGATTAACGACCACTCGGAAAGTGTCTGCTTGGACTTTCGGGGTTGGTGTGCAATTTTTTTTTCTTTTTTTTTTTTTGCAAGACGAAGAATATCGTGCAAGTGCCTCTGGCATTTTTTTCTTCCAAAATCTCTTTCTCTCTGTGTACCCACCACTTTTTTTTCTGTACAAATATTTTCGTAAAATATTACTCAAAATTAGAGGTTTATATAATCGACACCTTTTTTTAATGATTGAGGACTTTTTTTCTGTATTGAAAAAAAAGAGAAGAAAAGATTTGATTTGGGAAAAAAAAAAATGTTATCCGTTTAATGAAATAATCGAAAAAAAATTCTAATTATTTGGAGATTTATACAAAAGTTGGGAGAATGTTTTTGAAAATCGGATCGTGAGAACCTTGGAAACTATTTTGCTTCGTGTGGTCCACATTGTTGGCGGTTAAATTGAGGTGCTGTAATGGTAGTTCTCAATCCCCCCTCCCGCCTAAGAGTTGTTCGATAATGGAAGGGGAAACGAGCGCGTGCAAAGAAAAAAAGAACAATGATTATTTTTCTCATTGCGACAAATATCGAAATTGAAAATCGTAAATAAATTTTTTTCAACGTCGAAAGAAGCTTTTCGAAGTTCAAAACATTTTTAAATTTCTAAAATGTAGATGTAATATTCCAGAGCAATATTCCCAATGTTCCTTTGAAGTGATCCAGAAATTTATTTATTTATGAAATAAAAAATTATAATTAAAATTAAAACTATTAATAAAATTCTTGGAAACAATTCAAGAAATTTTAATAAAATTTTTTGAAATAATTGAATTATTTTCAAAAATTTTTTAAAATATTTTTTCCAAAAATAATAAAATTCTTCGAAATAATTCAATTGTTTCAATGAAATTTAAATTAAATTCTTTAAAAGAATTTTTAACAATTTTAACATAATTCTTCGTAGAAATTTAATTATTTTTACAAAATTTTAATCTAATTCTTGATAAGAATTCAATTATTTTTATAAAGAATAAAACTTATCGCAGGCTTTCAATTATTTTCAATATTTACTATTTTAAAAAGATTTCACAAAAGAATTCAATTGTTTAAAAAGAAAATTAAATAAAATTCTTCCCAAAAATTCAATTATTTTCCAAAATTTTGATCAAATTTTTTATAAGAATTAATTTATTTACAAATTTACGATGCATACAATTTAAAATTAAATTCGTTAAAAGAATTTGTTTATTTTCAACAGTTTTAAAAAAATTCCTCGTAGAAATTCAATTATTTTTGAAAATATCAATAAAATTCTTCAAAAGAATTCAATTGCTTTCAATGAAATTCAAATTAAATTCTTAAAAAGAATTTTTAAGAATTTTAAAATAATTCTTCGTAGAAATTTAATTATTTTTAAAAATTTTAAATCTAATTCTAAACAATAATTCAATTATTTTTATAATCAATCAAACTTATCGCAGAATTTTAATTATTTTCAATATTTACTATTTTAAAAAGATTTTTCAAAAGAATTTAATTGTTTAAAAAAAAATTAAATAAATTTCTTTACAAAAATTCAATTATTTTCCAAAATTTTGATCAAATTTTTTATAAGAATTAATTTATTTACAAATTTACAATACATATAATTTAAAATTAAATTCTTTAAAAGAATTTATTTATTTTCAACAATTTTAATAAAATTCCTCCCAGAAATTCAATTATTTTTGAAAATTTTAATAAAATTTTTCCAAAGAATTCAATTCTTTTCAATGAAATTTAAATTAAATTCTTTAAAATAATTTTTTTAACAATTTTAACATAATTCTTCGTAGAAATTTAATTATTTTTAAAAATTTCAAATCTAATTCTAAACAAAAGTTTAATTATTTTTATAAATAGTAAAATTTATCGCAGGATTTCAATTATATTTTCAATATTTACTATTTTAAGAAGATTCTACAAAAGAATTTAAATTTTTAAAAAACTTTTTGTAAAATGCTCCGAAAGATGACGATTATTTTGAAGGATTTTATTAAAATTTGTTTATAAGAATTTATATATTTTTAATACAATTGTAATTAAATTCCTTTTAGAAAAATAAAATTCATTCCTAGAATTCAATTATTTCCATAAATAATAAAATTCTACATAGAAATTCAATTATTTAAAAAAAATTTAAATAAAATACGTTGCAAGAATTCAATTATTTAAAAAAATTTTAATAAAATTCTAGGTAATAGGGGAACATAGTCTAGGTCGGCCACCTTTTTGACTTTTGTTTATAACTTTTTTTTAAAAATGAATTTGGACAATTGAAGTATATGGTTGGAAAGTCCTGTTTAATAGGAACATTTTTTCTGTACAAAGTAAATTGACAGGTTTAAAAATGAAAAAGTTATAAAGATTTAAAAAAAAAAAAATTTGTAGTCCAGGTTGGCCATTACAGTCAAGGTCGGCCATGTTTAAAATTCAAAGGGCATTAATCGTTAAAAAAAAAAATAACATGTTTGGAGTTACGGAAAATTGATTCTTTATTGTTTACAGCTTGTAACTTAATGAAATAATAAAATAATAAAAATAAACAATATAAAAAAGTAAATATAAATAAAAAAAAATTTTGCACTAAAATATTAATAAAATTAAATAAAAATATTAATAAGATGATCAATTATATTATGAGTTATACAGAATTGCAGTTTTTGCAAATGAAGTAGCTCGTCCTCAACTTTGCGCATTTTAAACACATAGTGGCCGACCTTGACAGTAAGTAACATTACCGAATTGTTGTAACCATAAAGAAATACGTTTCGGGATTCGATTTTTTACTTTGTTTTCCTTTCAACCATGAGTCCCACAAATTTTCTGCATACTTGCCTTGACGATTCAATTTGTTTTTTATCTTTTATTAATGGTTTTTCACATTATGCACAAAACTTTTTTTGAGCTTTTTTTGTACCGACGTCACAGAAAACACAATTTTCGATTTTCCGAAAATGTAATTGAACAAAAAGTTAGGTTTCACTAAGACAAGCTTCGACAAAAATGCGCGTAGGTGGCGCTAGTGAACTTGACAAAAAAACGCGAGTGGCCTACCTAGACAGTAGGCCAACCTTGACTACATTCCCCTAATGTAATCAGCTTTTTAAATAATTAAATTTTTCTTAACAATGCAAAAAGAAAGTGTTAAATAAGAGCTGATTTCAGCTCTAAAAAGTTTTTAAATATTTTTAAATTTAAGTGATTTAAAATTTTAATTGTTGTAAAACTTATAATTTCAATAAATAAAATTAAAATGTACTATTTTCATTTTTTTTTTATTAAAATGAAATATTTTTTTGTAGTGAAAAAAATTGTAAATTAAATATTTTATTTTATGAGAAATTATTTGTTGAACAAATGACTGAAGATAATGTTTCGATGTAAAAGTAAAATTGAAACATAAATATTTTCTTTTTATGGTCTTTATTATTAAAAGCAATGGGTTTACAGTAAAAAATTTGATTAGAAAAAATTAATGCAATTTAATTTACATCAAGTATTGTTATTTGGAATTAAATTTTGAATTATCCTCCTTTTTTGCATTTGCCACTGTTGCATCGAAGTCCAGTACAGCAAGGTTTAGTTCTGCTGCACTAAAAAATTAGAAATAAAATATTATTAATGAATTAATATTTTAGAAACAAATTACTAGAGATATTGTTGATAAATTAGTTTGAAAAATTGAAAGAGAAATTTAATTGTTTTTAATTTTACAAAGTAAATAAAAATCGTAATAGACTAACATTTAAAATAATTATTAACTTACCGATTCATTTTCTTTCGCACATTGACCATTGACGCTGAATACGAAAAATACAACGCACAATAGCAAAAGAGTGTAAAGTCTCACCTGAACAAAATAAATTTAATTTAATTTAAAATTCAATGAATTAAAAAACATTATTAAACATAAGAATTAATATAACGTTGAAATTATGTAATTTTACCATCTTTGATTGCTGCTGTGTTTTCTTATGTGAAACCAAATTTGCAACTTGACGCAGAACAACAATTTCTCACTCTTTATATACTGAGAAGAATTTTTTTGCCTACTGTTAAATTATGCCTGTATAATAAAGTTATTATTTGTTAAATAAAATTTTTCTTCTTCTAAAAATGGAAATGTTTATTTTCGTTAATTATTCTCTCACTTCTTGGGTATCTTCTTTTTGTTTTATTGTTATATAAATGTAAATGTTTACTTTGCTTTTAATATCTTCTGTTTTGATAAGAAATTAAAAAAATCCTTTAGATTATAAGAGAGAGCAAAATTAAATACTGATAATAATCAAGCAATAAATTTTTGCATTTTTTTACGTACAGAATGACACAAGTTGACAACTTCCTTGCAGAAGAGCGTTTATTAAATTAATTTATTAATTACTTAAATTTATTAAATTTATTAAATTAACGTTTATTAAATTATTTATTAATAATAAAAATTAATTGTAAATTAATAATATAAATTATTAATTTATTTAACATGACTATTACTATTAACCACTACGTTTATGTTGGTTAATTAATTTTCAAAAATATAAATATATGATTAATAGTTTTAATTTTTTTGAGAGAGTCGCAAACTGAACAAAAAAGACTCTTTTTATTAAATCAGGGGAAAATTGCGCGAAACGATAACAAAAACAACGAATCGTAAAAAGGGGAGATTTGATCTGCTCGAGTGATTCGACCACGCGCTTTAATCGACGGAATCATGGATATTAAAGTAGATCTACTTTTTCGTCGACACTATAAAAATTTATCTCCTTTTTCCAGCCTTGACAAATCTTCAAATTATCCGCTTTTAATGTATACTCTAAATTCGTCGAAATAAGTCGGAGAAAAAATTAATTCAATCAAAAATTTAATAAAGACCAATTAACAAAGGTGCAAGTGTAAAAACAAAAATACAAAAAATACTGAAAACAAATAGAATATGGTTCCAAAAAATTATAAACGGAAGTACATAAACAAAATTACAAATATACTGAAAAGAAATACAAAAAGATTTCAAAAAATTACAAAGGGAAGTACAAAAACAAAATTACGAAAAGTACTGAGAACAAATACAAAAAGATTAGAAAAAAATACAACCGTAAATTACAAGAAAGTACAAGAAGATTCCAAAAAAAAAAAAAAAAATGTTTCTAGAAATAAAAAAATATTAAGCCTCAACTTACTAGAACCTCTAACCAAATAACAGATTACGTAAAATTTACGATTGTTTCAAAAAAAAAAAGAAAGAAAAAAAAGATTGTGATCAAAGCGTAGATTCCTAATTTGCACCACTGAAAATCTTGTCACGGTAAAAGATGCAGCGTAAAATCGTTTGGTCCAAAGTAATAATCGTTTTGCTTGCTGCCTATATCTCGAGTCATTACATGAAGAAAAGTATAAAAGGTTGAATTGGTGCCGACCTAATACGATTTTCAGGGTGGTCTTCCGTTATACTTTCCCAACAACACTTCTGAGAGATCCATTTTAACGATGGCACGCAATAACCCCACTTTTCCCCTCCTGCACCATTTTTGACTTTCGATTGTCGCGATTAAGATCTCTTCTCTCGGAAGCCCGCTGCAACCTGCAAAAATTAAATCTCACTCGGATTATGACACCGATCTCTCCTGTCAGTGAAAAAATTAACGGTACTACTTTTACATTCGATTAATTAATATGCATAAGTATATGTATATTTAAACCACAAACCCGAAAAGAAGACACAAATTTTAAGCATTAAAAGTTTGTCCTAATTAAATTTTATTTTCATTCATTTATATCAATTCCATTTAGTTATTGAAAATCAAGCCATTTCTTTACTACTTTTGAATCTTCTAATTATTTTCTTTAGAAAAATCATTCTTTATTTTAGTATATTTATTTACTTCACAGGAAATTTTAATATTAGTCTCCTTAATTTAAATCCTGTACATTAACAGCTACTTTCATTTTGATTATAATCAAATTGAAAATGCAAGCGAAAATAAAAATCTGCTAAAAAGAAAATTGAAACTTAAAGAAAGAAATTCAAAATGGAAATAAAATTACATTTTTGAAAATAATTGAATTGTTTCAAAGAATTTAATTAAAATTTCTTAAATTGTTCTTAAGAATTTCATTAACTATAATTCTTCGAAACAATTCAACTATTTCTATATTTAAATACAAAAATTCTTTGCATGAGTTAAATTATTTTTAATCAAATTTCAATAAAATTACATGAAAGAATTTAATCATTTTCAAAAATTTTCATAAAATACAATTTCAACAAGAATTTAAAGTTCACTAAAAATAATTCAATTATTCTCAAAATATTTTTGAAAAATTCTATATAAAAATTAAATTACTTTCAATGGAATTTTTAAATATATTTGTCAAAAAAAATTGAAAGAATTAAATTATTTTCAAAAATTAATAAAATTCTTGTCATGAATTTCAATTATTTTGAATGTACTTAATTTTCATAAAATTCTTTAAAGAAATTCCATTATTTTCAAAACAACTTTAATTGAATTTCTCGAAAAAATTTCATTATTTTCAAATTTATATTTCTATAAAATTCTTCATAACAATTTAATTATTTCTTATAATTTTAATAAATTCTTTGAAACATTTAAATGTTTTTTATAGAAAGTAAAATTCTTCGCAATAATTCAATTATTTTTATAAATAGTAAAATCCTTTAAAGCAATTCAATTATGTTCAAACCAATTTTAATTGAATTTCTCGGATGAATTCAAATATTTTTAAATATTTCCATAAATTTCAATTATTTTCTAAAATTTTAATAAATTCTTCGAAACAATTCAACTATTTTTATAAATAGTAAATTTCTTCGCAAGAATTCAATTATTTTCAATTCACTTTTAAATTTAATAAAATTCTTCTTCATAAAATTCAATTGCTTTGAAAATTTTGTTAAATATTATGTTTCGTCAAATTGAAATTATGCAGATTTTTGTTCTTTACTTCTAATCAAAATTAGAAAATTGTTAAACAACTGTGATTAAGAAATAGAACATTTATTTATTTTGCATTATTTTTCTTTATTAATCACAATTTTTTTAACAAAATTATTATTTTGTTTTAGAAAAAGAAGAAAAATATTTGCACAATTCCTATTTTTACTCTTATTTTAGGAACAGGATTTTTCACAGGAATTAAGACATTCAAAAATTTCAAATTCCAACCTTTTTTTAAATTAAAAAACTTATAAAAGTATTGTTATAAAACATGAAATTATCGATTGCTCCGAAACGAAGACTCGGAGTGATCGATTTCTTCATGTTTTCTAATAATTAAAGATGACCGAGAGATAAAATTATTATTTTATATTATAAGAATATTGTTACCGGTAACTTCATCAAAATTATTTTCATCGTTTTAATACAATTGTTATTTTCTAGAATTTTAAATTATTTTTTATGAAAATAATAATAGAATTCCTTAAAAAAAATTTATTATTTATGAAAATAATTGAATTCCTGGGAAATTTTTATTATTTATGAAAATAATTAAATGTTTAAATACAATTTTATTAATTTTTTTTTTAAATAATTGAATTCGTTTTGGGAAATTTTATGAAAATCTTAGATATTGAAAATCATTGAAATTAGAAAATTTTTTGAAAATAATTGAAATTAGGACAAGAATTTTTTTGACGTCTATGAAAATAATGAAATTTTGGAGAAGAATTTTGTTATTTATATTTTATAAAAATAATTGGGATTTTTACGAGATTTGTTTTCAAATTTTGAACATAGTTGAATTTTATAAGAATTTTTTTTTTTTTTTTGAAAATAATTGAATTTCTGCAATTATTTGTAATTTCTCCAAAATTGAATTTTTTTTAGTGTTTTCAATAAAAATTTAAATTAGAAAATTTTTAAATTGTTTGCTAGTTGATAAATAATTTCTACTACCTTGTAAATTTATTCTGTAGAGAAGTTAGAAAAAGAAACCCGAAAATATTGTGATTAAAAATAAAAAAAACTGACGTTATTAGTGAAAAGAAGGAATTTTGTTTCCCTACATAATTTTACTAAAATTGACATGAAATTTCTATTTTATTAAATACACAAAAAATTCGGTATCATTTTATTTTTTGCATAGCTCAAAATGAGAAAATCTTAAACTGAATAAAAAGTGACTCCCATCTCTTCCACAAGGAAGTTGCCAAAAACTTCCAAAATTTTATTCCTTTATTATCAATATTTTTTATCATTCTCTTAATAATTATCTTAATTTCTTTTTTAATTTTTTATCAAAACAGAAGATATTAAAAGCAAAGTAAACATTTACAGTTTTATATATCAATAAAACAAAAAACACTGAATACCCAAAAAGTGAGAGAATTATTGACAAAAATAAACATTTCCATTTTAAGAAACAGATAAGTCTTATTTAACAAATAATAACATTTTTATGCAGACATAATTAAAAAAAATAAATAAATAATTCTTCCCAGTATATAAAGAGTGAGAAATTGTTGTTCTGCATCAAGTTGCAAATTTGGTTTCACAGAAGAAAACACAGCAGCAATCAAAGATGATAAAATTACATAATTTCAACATTATATTAATTCTTATGTTTTATAATGTTTTTTAATTCATTGAATTTTAAATTAAATAAAATTTATTTTGTTCAGGTGAGACTTTACACTCTTTTGCTTTTGTGCATTGTATTTTTCGTATTCAGCGTCAATGGTCAATGTGCGAAAGAAAATGAATCGGTAAGTTAATAATTATTTTAAATGTTAGTCTATCACGATTTTTTACCATGTAAAAATAAAAGGAATTAAATTTCTTTTTTAATTTTTCAAACTAATTTATCAAAACATAGACACTGCCTCTAGTAATTTGTTTCTAAAATATTAATTTATTAATAATATTTTATTTCTAATTTTTTAGTGCAGCAGAACTAAACCTTGCTGTACTGGACTACGATGCAACAGTGGCAAATGCAAAAAAGGAGGATAATTCAAAATTTTAATTCTAAACAACAATACTTTATGTAAA